ACGCATTCGCCTCATCTCGAGCACCCCAAAGCATATGAAGATCTTTACCACCCTCGCGCTGCTTGTCGCTGCGGCCATGACCAGCTCGGATGCTGCCGGCTGCACCCTCACGGGCACCTACAGCGCGTCGTCGGCCGCATCGGTCATGAAGAGCTGCAAGGCCATCACGGTCAGCGGCCTCAGCGTCCCCGGCGGCGTCACCTTGGACCTCACGACCCTCCAAGCCGGCACCACCGTCACGTTCAAGGGCACGACCACGTTTGGCGTCAAGAACTGGGAAGGTCCGCTCATTGCGGTCTCGGGCTCCAAGATCACTCTCGACGGCACGGGCGCTACGCTCGACGGCCAAGGCGCGTCGTACTGGGATGGCAAGGGCGGCAACGGCGGCGTGACCAAGCCCAAGTTCTTCAAGTCGTCCAAGCTCGTCGACTCGACCATCAAGGGCTTCAAGCTCCTCAACACGCCCGTCCAAGCCTTCTCGATCAACACGGTCACCAACTCCAAGTACCTCGACATTACGATCGACAACAAGCTCGGCGACTCCAAGGGCGGCCACAACACGGACGCCTTTGACGTCGGCAGCTCGCACGGCGTCTTGATCTCGGGCGCGATCGTCTACAACCAGGACGACTGCCTCGCCATCAACTCGGGTACGGGCATCACCTTTACCAACGGTTACTGCAGCGGCGGCCACGGTCTCTCGATCGGGTCGGTCGGCGGTCGCTCCGACAACGTCGTCAAGGACGTGACCATCTCCAACAGCAAGGTCGTCAACAGCGACAACGGTGTGCGCATCAAGACGGTCTCGGGCGCGACGGGGTCTGTCTCGGGCATCACGTACTCCAACATCCAGCTCACCAACGTGGGCAAGTACGGCATCGTCATCGAGCAAGACTACCTCAACGGCGGCCCGACGGGCAAGCCCACGAATGGCGTCCCGATCACCAACGTGACGCTCGACACCATCACGGGTTCGGTCACGTCGGCGGCCACCCACACGTACATTCTGTGTGCCAAGGGCGCGTGCAGCAACTGGAAGTTCACCGGCGTCGCCGTCACGGGCGGGAAGCAGTCGACCACGTGCTCCAACATCCCGGCCGGCTCCAACGCCAAGTGCTAATGTACATGTCTGTTGTATACTAGTACGCGATATACCGATGAAATGTCTTCTTGCGTCTACGTCGTGTCTCGGGCCAAAGCAGCAGACAATGCACAGATCATGTCGAGCGTCGAGAGCGTGCCACGTCTTTGCATGTCAAAAAGATCATGGATGGGCCAATCACTGGACGTGCGGATCCCATTTTTAGCCAATCGAGAACGCACATTCTGTGATCGCGCCAAAAATGGAGCATAAAATGTCTTGTGGAGGCGCAAGCGACTGGGACTCCGAGTGTCCTCCCCCGTGTCAGCAGACATGCACCGCGTGGCAGCTAGTTTGACTCGTGTTGCAACGTACTTTAGTTGATGTGCGACTACCCTACTCTCGTAGCGGCCTCCGGATCCCGAGACCGCCCGTGCATGCTAGTGTACAGTCAATGTTGATCAAGAATAAAAGTACAATCACTATGTCAGAGTGCGTAGAGTTGACTCGTGCTTGACGGTAGTCGGCGCTTGTAGAAGAGCACGTACGCAGCGTTGGAGACGACTTTGGACGCCGGGATCTCACACACCACTTCGTCGTCAAAGCAGAGCCAGACGTGCGACGTTGGCAGCGCGCTCTCGAGCGACACGTCGTGACGCGGGAGGTCAAAGCGGCAGTATGTCGTGTAGTGGCCTTCGCTGAGCCCGCCCGTGTGGTTGGCGACCGCAAACAGGTCATAGAGACCGCTGTTGACGTCGGATGGGACTTTGTGCAAATACGGCGTCAAGTCGAGTCCTTCCAGCGGAAACGTCACGAGCTCGTTGACTTTATGGTGCTGGACGCTCGAGTAGTGAAAGCGCTTGAGGTGCAGCATGAGAATGTCGGGCGACCGCGACAGGTCCGTGTAGCGAGTCCCGCCGGACGTGCTCTGGCACTGCTCACACGCCCAGTCGACGCCCATGCGCTCGGTGGCCATGAACGACTCGAGGCACCGACGCAGCGTCAGCTCGGGCACGTCGCGCGTCACTGGGCGCAGCGCCGACGCAAAGTCGTCCACAAACATGGGCGATGCCGTCCATTCAAGGACGACGACCTCGGGCGGCGTGACGTACCGCAAGAACGGCGTCGTGTCGCACGGTACATCAACGGTCTTGCCCGGGTTGCTCATGGCCATCGCCGCTATGGTGTAGGCGGCCGTCGTTGCCACCAGGCGACGCAGTTCCTTGTTGATCGCCGCGTGCAGCTCGGCCGTGGTGCGGTCCGACCCCAGTGAGAGCACGAACGGAATACCACCGAGCTGGCCGTCGACCCGGTGGACGACCTGGAGGTCCACGATCCCTTCTTTGGTCATCGGCTTGACCGTCCTGTACCAGACGTCGGCCGCAAACGTCTGCTTGATGCCACTGGCGAACGCGACGGTCAACGTGTCGGCGTCGCTGCCCGCGAGGACACCCGTCTCGGGACGCAGGCGCGGGTCCGATACCACAGCGACGGGCATGCCAAGCCGTGTCGGAAGCCGCGTGAGGCGCTCAAAGCAGTAGATTGTCGCGCCTTCGATGTCGCACACGAGCGTGTCCGGGCTCAGCACCCGCACGAACCGGTGGTTCTGCACGTGCACGAGGCGCAAGACGGAGGGCGACGTCTGCAGTTGACACCCCAAGTCGTCCAAGACCGTCCGCAGCGCGCCTTCGTTCGACGGCAGCGCCACGTCGCAGACCTTGGGCGATGCGTCTTGTCGAAACACGAGGATACGGAGCGCGCACCGAAGGACGACGGGGATCGAGAGGCTAAAGCACAGGAACGGGTCGTGCGAGATCGACCGGTGGTCGCACGCGTCGCAGACTGTCTGGCTCTGGAGGAGACCGTGGAAGACATCGGTGACGATCGAGTGGTTCCCGGCCACGTGGGCACGCCACGCAGCGTCGTCGTCGGCCGTCGGCTCGAGAAAGCCCGCGCTACGCTTGACGTCTTCATGTATCGCATCGAGGAGGGCCGCCATGTACTCGTGCGCATCTTGCTGGTCATAGCTGTCAAACTGCGGCCGCGCTTTGGCCACGAGCTTGCGAAGGGCCGACGGTGACACGGTCGTCGTTGCGATCGTGCCCGTCGGCGCCCAAAGCGACGCGACGACGTTGGCAACCGCCGACACGACTTTGCCTTTGGTGCCGAGCGGGTTGGTCTTGTTGATGTGACCTGCGTACTGCGTCGAGAGCAAGTACGACCGCAAGATGGGTGTGGCCGCTAGACACTGCAGCGCACAGTTGAGGAAACACGTGTTGCCCAAGTTGAGCAGCCCGACGGCCCCAGCGTAGCCGGGGTTGAGACGCGGGATCGGCGACGGCCAGAGACCGCGGTCGCTGTCGGCGCGGCTGTGGCGCGGCTGGAGCTTGCCCGAGTCGTGGTGGATCCACTCGTTGTACATGGCGTGGAAGCCTACGAACGAGACAAGCACACGCGTGCCGTCGGTGCTCACGCGGTGCACGACGCCCGGCCGCCACACCTGTTCGCAGTCGAACGCGTCGACAGCGTCACCGATGCGCAGCGGGCGAAAGTCGCGCGGCGTGCGAAGCAGAATGCGCGGCCACTCGGTCGCGTTCGAAGGTCGGGTCTCAAGAAGGAGTTCGGACGATGTCACGTCGGCAGCGGTGAGATCGGAGGCGACGAGAACCCAGTGGCCGTCGGCGTCACGACACCACAAACGGGCTTCCATATTGACGTCATGCAGCGCGACGGCGACGTCCTTGAGGTCGACAAGGCGCGCACTTGGGGGCACCTGGAGCGACCGCGACTGCGGACTCGGCCGCCCGTCGCGCTCGGAGAGAGCGATCGCGAGCGTCACGAGGCGGTACACGCCGTTGTAGCACGGCAGCGCGGGGCCGCCACCGAACCGCGACTGGAGCGCGTGCCACGTCTTTGGCGACACGGTGACGTAATCAACGCCGTCGAGAAGCGTGTCGGACGTCTGCATGGCGTCGGCCAGCGCTTGGTTGTAGATCGAGGGCGGGCAAGGCCCGTCGCTCTCGTGCTCATTGTTGTTGTTGTCGCTGTCGCTCGGGTCGGCGTACGCCCGCCACGACTGCCACCACTCGATCGCGACCGCAAACTGCAAGGATGACGACGGCGCGTCACTTGGCCTGTCGTTGCCGTCGGGTTGTGAGAACACGGCGAACGGCGCCAGCAAGCGCTTGACGAGGCTCGGCGGCAGCGCCGCAGCAAACTGGTCGCGCGTGAGCATCTCGGGAAAAGACTCGGCGCCGACGTCGCGGACGCCCGAGAGCACATGCGCGGTCTCGAGCAAGAGATGCAGCTCCTTGCGGTACATGACGTTCTTCTTCTTGAGCTTCCCGCCCGGAAACGACATGCTGGCTGTGAACCAGTCAAAGACAAAACGATGCGGGTCAAGGTCGAGGAACTGGAGCACTTGGATGCATGTGACCGCGTCGTAGGGCCGGAAGAGCCGATAGCAGCTCGTGACGGTGGCGTGTGGCAGCGCTTGAAGGCGTGGAAACAGCAGCGTAAAGCTGACGAGGTCCAATGGCCGACGCGTCGCGTCCTTGGGGCGCTGGAAGAGGCGGAACTTGGCCGCGTTGGCCGCGTCAACCGCACGCACGTAGCGGGCGTAGAGGTACTGGACCGCAATGCCAGACATGGACGCGCCCGGGAGGTTCATCGCGAACGTGTTGCGGTCGGCTTCGGACCGGCGGTCGTCCGTTTCGCTCGACGACCCATGGGACGTGCGGTCAAGGGCGGGCAGCTTGGCCTCGGGCGACGCGGCTTCGGGCAGCTCCTTGACCCGACACATGGAGCTCATGTGCTTGTCGCCCACGTCCATCATGCAGCAGACGTCGACGTTGTTCATGCGGCTAATGCTCTCTTCCGCGTCTCTCCTCTGGCGTCGGTTCGGTTCCTGCTCTTTATCCCTTGAAGATTGGACGCATTTGCAGTGCGCGCACTTGAGGTTCGCACTTGAAGTTGCCACTCCTTCACTTTGCGCCAAACTCGCCGCAAGAAGGGAATGGCTGCCAGCTGGGGTGGACCCAAACGTGCGGTGGATGCGCAGCACCGATCTTTGTCTCCCAATAGCGCGCAGTGGGCAGAACGTGTACCCATGCGACTGCGTCGTGGCCATGCAGCGAGAAATCAAGCGGGCGCCGAACGCGGCCACAAGAACACGAGTGAACTGGAGCGCGCGCTTCAAGTTCCCGCACCTGGGATGCTTGAAACCGATGACGTAGATGTGTCGAGTATACAATAATAATATGCATATGGTGCGCAATGTATTAAAATACACATACAAAGACCAAGTGAATAGTCTGTTGCCGTCAGCGTCAAGCGCTCGATTGATATTAAAAACATGCACTCTTGTTTATTTTAGAACAGCAATCTTGTATAGCAAGTCTATGTTGCAGAATTAAAAGACGAATAAAAATAGTGACGTCGCTTTTCGCTCGATTATTATAAATGGACCTGGCCCAACCAGAGATTTGCCCCCATTTTCGCATTTCGCCCGTCGAGCTCACGAAGATACGATGCTCGCTCGGTCGCTTCGCTCCAAGGTCGTCCAGCGGGCGACGGCGCGCTGGTCGCGTGGCTTTGCATCGGGCAGCTACGACGAGATCCTGCATGCGGAGCGCGAAGGCATGGACTACGACGTGGTGCTTGTCGGCGCGGGCCCGGCGAGTCTCTCGGCGGCCATCCGCCTCAAGCAGCTTAGCCTCGAGAAGGGCACCGACCTCTCGGTGTGCGTTGTCGAGAAGGGCGCCGAGGTCGGCTCGCACATCGTGTCGGGTACGCCATGCAGCGCAACGGCGGCGAAACTCAAAATCTTTGCCTCTAGGCAACGTGTTTGAGCCCCATGCGCTTAACGAATTGATCCCGGACTGGAAGGAGAAGGGCGCGCCGCTCGATACGCCGGTCACGACCGATAGCTTTCTCATCATCTCGAAGGAAAAGTCGATCCAGCTGCCCAACTTTTTGTTGCCGCCGCAAGTGGTACGGCGCCCATCCCCTTCCAAACCCTGTTCGCTCATGGCCATCGATGCTGTGTAGCACAATGAGGGCAACTACGTCATTAGCTTGGGCAAGCTCACGCGCTGGCTCGGCACGCAGGCCGAAGAGCTCGGTGTCGAGATCTACCCGGGCTTTTCGGCGTCCGAGGTTTTGTACCGTGACGACGGCTCGGTGCGCGGTATCGCAACGCGCGACGTCGGCCTGGAGAAGGACGGCACGCCCAAGGAGACGTTTGCCCGCGGCATGGAGCTCCGTGGCCGCGTGACGCTCTTTGGCGAGGGCTGCCGCGGCTCGTGCAGCGAGGAAGTCATGAAGAAGTTTGAGTTGCGCAAGGACGCGCAGCCGCAGACGTACGGCCTTGGTATCAAGGAGGTGTGGCGCATCCCAAAGGAGAAGCACACGCCGGGCCTTGTCCAGCACACGCTCGGGTGGCCGCTGCAGTCGTCGCTCATGGACAAGACGTTTGGTGGCTCGTTCCTCTACCACATGGAAGAAGACCTCGTCCAGATCGGCATGGTCGTCGGCCTCGACTATGAGAACCCGTACCTCAACCCGTACGAGGAGTTCCAGCGCTTCAAGACGCACCCGGCCGTCCGGTCGCACCTCGAGGGCGGCGAGTGCGTCGCCTACGGCGCCCGTGTCCTCAACGAGGTACATATATCCTTGTCCTTGTCCTCACATATCTTATCTTTTCCTATGTGCCTAGGGCGGGTACCATGCGATTCCCAAGCTCTCGTTCCCGGGTGGTGCGCTCATCGGGTGTTCGGCCGGCTTCCTCAACAGCATCAAGATCAAGGGCACGCACACGGCCATGAAGTCGGGCATGCTGGCGGCCGAGGCCGCGTACGAGGCGCTCACCAAGGACGGCGCCGAGCCGGTGGCGACGACCGGCGAGATTGACGCGGCCGAAAGCGCCGCCGACCTCGCGAGCTACGAGAGCGCTGTCGAGTCGTCGTGGATCGCCGACGAGCTCAAAAAGGTGCGCAACTGCCACCAAGCCTTCCACTGGGGCACGCTCCCGGGTCTCATCTACTCGGGCCTCTCGGCGTTCATTCTGAACGGCAAGGAGCCGTGGACGATCCCGACGACGACCGTCGACTCGGCCAAGACCAAGCCGGCGAGCGAGTGCACGCCGATCGAGTACCCCAAGCCCGACGGCGTCTTGACGTTCGACTTGCTCTCGAACCTCCAGCGCAGCGGCACCAACCACGCCGACCAGCCCGCGCATTTGCGCATCAAGCCCGAGCTCAAGGACGTGCCGGCCAACGAGTCGTTCCCCACGTACGCCGGCCCGGAGCAGCGCTTTTGCCCGGCCAAGGTCTACGAGTACACGGACGGCTCGGAGGAGGGCGCGAATGGCAAGCCGCAGCTCGTCATCAACGCGCAAAACTGCATCCACTGCAAGTGCTGCTCGATCAAGATGCCCAAGGAGTACATCAACTGGACGGTGCCCGAAGGCGGTGGCGGCCCGGCTTATGAAGTGCTCTAAGCATGTGCTCGCATCGTATCTTCTGCATCATCTCTTCTTCGTCGCTAGACGTTTCTAACCCGTAAACAGCCATATACCCACACTTGTGCGAAGCAGAACGAGCGGACGCATGCACGTAGCTTCCGCATGTCGGGCATGGACGTCAGCACCAGGCGACGCATGCATCCAAGCACGCCTCTGTTCTTGCGCTTACAACGAACGAGGGCTATGGACAGGCGGCCATTGATGACGACTACAAGTCGGCCTTGGCGTCCGTGACATTCGTGATGCTGTTGACCGTGTACGTGTCGGTCCAGCCCTGCACGTAGATGCTGATGTCGTACGTTTGGCGTGGCGCGTCCTTGGGGCAGACGCAGTCCTTCACGGCGTTGGCCGCGCGATCGACCGCGCAGCCCTTGACGCGGAACTTGTAGTTGATCCCCGCGACGACCTGCTGCGAGACGCTCACAAACTTGGTCGCGCAGATGCGCACGCCGTTGGTCGCCGGCGCGTAGTTCGCGTCGTTGCCGACCGCCGTGAAGAAGTCGGTCTTGGCGTCGAGCGAAACGCGGGACTTGGTTGGGCTATACCCGCCCGTGATGTGGTCGGCGGTCGCCATGGCAGCGACGGCGAGGAGCGTGAGGAGCTGCATCGTTCGAGTTTCTGTGGAATGAAGCAGGTCTGAGTTCTGGGACGCTGCGCCGAACAACGGGAGGAAGCCAGAACATGCGATCCGAAAAAGCAGCTGGCACCGGCAAGATCGCTTGCGAGCTGCGAGCTCCGAGCTCCGAGCTCCAAGCTGGCGAGGGCGGGCGAGGCCTTGGATAGCACCACGGCGCAGGCCCATGTCGCTGGCAATGACAACGCTATGGTCCTGCAGGCGACGCGACAGGTCGATCGAGCGGTCGACAGGAAGGAGCTCAGAAAGGACTTTTGCCCAGCAAGTACTACTAGCACACTGTAGACGCACAGGACCGGTATCGAACCCAGCGCGAGGCTGCTCGTGGCGAGCGGCAGAGCTAGTGAGCGGTAGAGCTGGCGGAGGAGCTGGCGCCGTCGACGGACGCCATGAATTCGTTGGGAGCCGTTTCCAACGGCAGCTATTTCCATCGGTATGCGCGTCCTAGAGGCGGCTCTCGTGGCGGCGACGGCCGCGCTGACGCTGGCAGCGACGTGCTGCCCCAACTCGTGTTCGGGCAAAGGCAAGTGCAACATCGCCGGCAACGGCTGCGTCTGCGCGTGCTTTGCCGGCTTCCTCGGCGCTGACTGTTCCAAGCGTACGCTCTCGTACAGTGCAACGTGGCCTCGACATGAGCGCGTTAGGTGCCTGCCCGACGGGCAAGGCGTGGGCCAGCACGGGCACGGGCGTCGACCAAGCGCACGTCCGCAGCGTCTGCTCGAACCGTGGCACGTGCGACCACGCCACGGGCGTCTGCCGCTGCGATCCTGGCTTCACGGGCGCGGCCTGCGATCGCAGTACGACCGTGTTGCGACTGCGGACGATAGGATTGTCTTTCTGACCTAGTGGGCTGTCCCGGTGGCTGCGGCAAGAACGGCGAGTGCCGGTCCATGAAGTACCTCGCGACGCAGAAGGATGCGGGGCTGCCACCGCCCGTCGTGTACACGCACGTCTGGGACAGCGACATGATCTATGGCTGCATGTGTCTTGACCGCCACACGGGCCCCGACTGCTCGCAGAGTACATACCGCCTTCGATCGGGCCATCCGCATCCCATGGCCGATGTATGGTGTAGCGCTCTGCCCGACGGGCGACGATCCGCTCACGGGGTTTGCCGGCGATCTCATCTTTGGCCAGCAGTTCAACGAGATGCAGTCGCTCACGTGCGCTGCGACGGTACGACGCTCGGGCTTGCCCCGTCAAGCTCATTGCAGCGTCCTGTCCAGGCCGGCACCTTTACACTGTCGTTTCGCGGGCTCACGACTGTCCCGATCCAGTGGAACGACCCGGTGGCTGTCTTTGCGGCCAAGCTTAACGTACACGTGCTGTGAGCGGGCGTCTGTTGGATGTCCTTGGGCTAGGCTCTCGCTAGCATCGCGCACGTCGCGGTGACGTATGCAAGCACAACGCTTCTCGCCTGCCCGCCTGCGGGCAACGTGATTGCGATCGAATTCCTTCACGACTTTGGACTGTACGTAGTTATATCGTCGATGTACCCTAGTGTCCTTTGTACATGGCTTGTGCGGGACATTATGGGGGCTGTAGGCAGCCACTGCTCGTGGGCAACCCAGCCAACCTCGAATACACGGCCGTCGGCGGCACGGTGCAGCTGTTGACCGCGCGATTGCAAGCAGGATCAAAGGAGAATGCCCCGTGTTCGAACCGTGGGACGTGCGACCTCGGCACCGTACTCGCACTGTGTCCAGTGACGTCGTCTTAATGCATGAGGTTAGGGGGTCTGCACGTGCTATGCCGACTTTGACACGAGCGACGGCTACGGCAACCTCGGCTCGCGTGGCGACTGCGGCGCCGCGACAGGCACAGTCACCAACTGCCCTGTATCGGCCGATCAAGTTGATACTGTGGGTTCAAACGATAGCGTAGGGAACGGTCACGCCGTGCAGCGGGCATGGCTATTGCTCGGGCGAGCCGCAGTACGCGTGTCTCTGCTATGACGGGTGGACCTCGGGCGACTGCTCGATCCGCACGTGTCCGCAAGGTCCAGCATGGTTTGATACGCCGAGCAGCAGCAACGACGCCCACCACTACGCCACGTGCTCGAACGCGGGCATTTGCAACCAAGCGACCGGGTTCTGCGAGTGCGCCGCAGGCTACGAAGGCGCCGCGTGCCAGCGCCGTGCGCTGCTTGATGCTCATCGCACCGTCTCATGTGCTGCTAGTGGCGTGTCCGACAACGACTGCCGAGCCGTGCTCAGGCCATGGGCAGTGTCTCACGCAAGGCCGTCTCTCGCTGCAGTCGACGACTTGGAATGGCAGCCCGACGCCGTTTACATACGGCGCCACGCCCAACAACCCGATGGTATTGACACTTGATAGACTGATACAAAGTTGATAGTCCATGTCTAGACTTGGGATTTCAACCAGATCCAAGGCTGCTATTGCGACACGGGTTTTGCGGGCCACGACTGCGCGTTGCGTACGTAGCTCCTATGTATCAATGTATCAAGTGCATACAGGCACGTGTGCGGTCGGCGACAACCCGCGCACGACGGGGCAGACGAACGAGATGCAAGTGCTTATCTGCACCGCGACAGCACCCTCGACGTTCCAACTGAGCTTTCGTGGCCAAACGTCCGGCGCGATTGCGACGACAGCGTCCGCGGCCCAAGTTAGCGCGGCGCTCGGACTCGTACCGGCGATCGGCGCCGTCACCGTTGCGTTTAGCGCCGGCGCCACGACGGTCTGCACGCCGACAGGTACCAACCTTGTCCGCGTGACGTTCTTGACGACATCCGGGGACGTGCCACCGATGGTTGCGGTCGTTGCGGACGCCGTTGCTGTTCCGTCCTTTGTGGTCGCTACGGACGGCGTTATCGGCTCGATCCAAGGCACAACTGAGAGTATTCTTTGTTCGGGCGGGTGCGATATCGCTCCCAGTGGCTTTCGTTGACGTCAACACCGTGTATAGAGGCGTATGCAACCAGGCCACGGGGCTCTGCGCTTGCTTTCCTGACTTTGCGCAGAGCGACGAGCGCGGCCAAGCCGGACTGAGCGAAGACTGCGGCTACCTCGTGCCCTACCAAGGCGACATGATCGACTACTCGTACGACGACACTGCGTAGTAGCCTCGAGACGATAAGGCAGTTTGCGTGTTGTTCACGAACGTTGGGAGACCAGGGAGAGACCATCTGAGGCTATGGCGAGGACACGGGACGGCTGCATGTACCTTGGCTTCCCAGCACACCTCTGCCTGGTGTGTCTGTCGTCGCTGACTAGCATCCGCAGAGCGCTACGACCCTCTCATCCTGCTACTGCGTTGCGATGGCGTGTCCTTCCTTGAGAAGTGCTGCGTGGGACAGTGGCACACTGAATTAGCGTTTAGCTTAGTCGAACCACGGAAACTCGTAGTCACAGCCGAGCGACGTGGCCTTTTCGCCAAAGCGGCGAAACTCGTCGAGCAGAATCGGGCGGCCCGTGAGGCACAAGGTCGCGTCGTCGTGGGCCAGAATGTCTTGGGCGAGCTTGTAGAACGCAGTGAACGTCGATGAGACCTCGTCGACGTCCTCCGTGTCGCAAAACCAGTTGTCGTACCGGTCCATGTTCATGTAGAGCGCGAGCAGCGAGCCCATGGCCTCGGGGTACTTGGCCGCCGCCAAGAGCTTGCGCGTCGCCGTCATTTCTCGCGCAAACAGCGTCATCATGGGCATCGACGACCACGTGTCCATCATCGAGATCCCGCTGTACGGCTTGTTGCCCGTGGCCTTCATGATGCTCACCGTGATGGCCTCGATCTTCTTGGCCGTCGGGTCCGACACCACCTTGACGTCGCGGCGCGGCGGGCGATCGGCATCGTCCTCGTCCTCGCTGTCCGAGTCAAAGTTGAAAGTGGCAAGACGCCGCTCTTCCGCGGGAGGCGCCGACGCCGTGCGGCGCTTCTTGCCCGTCGGCTTGGCCGGTGCGGGCGCTGGTGGCGGGCTCGCACGCTTGCGCGTCGTCTTGGCAGGCGCGGCGGCAGGCGTCGCCGGCGCTGCACGCTTGCGCTTGCCTGTTGCCTTGGCTGGCGCGGTCGCCGGCGGTGGGCTCGCGCGCTTCCGGTGCGTTGCCTTGGCGGGCGCTGCGCCACTCGCCGCTGCCGCTCTCGTCGTGGCCATTGTGCTGGGAAGTGCTGGAAGTCAACCAGATGCAGTGGCCGAGGTATTTCCCACAAGCGCCTCATTTCCGCATTTCCCACATCGGTCAAAACCGCGCTTGAAGAGCGCTTCCGAGACCACAGGACAGTGCTTGCGTCGTACATGAGGTCTTATCAGTGTCATGGGAAGTCCTGGTTCGGGTTCAGCGGCGGCGTCCGGCGGCCGTCGGCGGGTAGTTTCACACGTGATATATGGTGTAAAATGTGAAAAAGGATGTGCAATGTCGAGCCCTCACATGCGTATTGTATGTGATATATATTTCGCACGTGAAAATTGTGTTTCACAACTTCAACGAGGTTTGTCCCAGATGTATATTCGGGACAAACCATTTTCCGGCAACCGTCGCGATCCATGGACCTCCATGAGGCCTGCGAGAACGGCAACGAGGAGCGCGTCGTCGAGCTGCTCTTGGCGGACAACTCGGACGCGCAGCTCAAGCAGGTGGACGCGGCCGGGCGCAGTCCGCTCCACGCAGCGTGCATCGGCGGCCAGCTCACGGTCGTCCAGCTCCTGTTGGGTCGGCGCTGCCTCGTATTTTTTCCCGGGCGGTCCATCGACGCCGTTCGACTGCTGCTCGAGAACGTCGGCAAGATGAAGGACGTCGACGTGCGCATGAAGCGCAAGGAAGAGGGCCTCGCGCCCGCGGCGCTGGTGCAGCTGCCGTCGGCGGCGACGGTCCAGGCGGCCGACCTCATCGACGGGCGCGTGTACGTGGACCACTATGGCAACGCGCCGATTCAGTGCGTCGCGTGCTTTGGCTGCGGCACCGAGGTCAAGCACATCCTCGAAGGCCTCGAGATCACGCGGGAGCTCCTCCTCTCCGGGTGCCACGCCAACACAACCAAGACGAGCAACCACTGGACGCCATTGCACTGGAGCTGCTTCAACGGCAACCACGAGATGACGTCGCTTCTCCTTCGGCCGAGCAGCGCGCTCACCGTCAAGCTCGCGCCACAGCAGTTTGCGATCCCGCTCGTGCAGTCCCAGGAAGGCCTCTTCCCCGTCGACCTCGCCGGGCGCCTCGCGCTCAAGCTCGGTGGCGAGATGCACCGTCTGCGCCAAGGCAGTGACACGCTCGGCGCCGACGACAGCGACGACGCAAGCCACGCGTTCGAGTACCGGACGTGGCGGCTTCGGCTTGACCACGTGCGCGTCGTGCAAGTGCTCGTCGCCGACTTCATCTACATGGCCCCGCGCCCCCACGAGTACGCTGCGATTTGCAACGTTCGCAGCCAGCCCTCGCACGCGGCCAAGCGGACGCTGGCCATGTTCACCGCCAGCGACGTCCTGCGGTAGCCTCTCTCGTCTCCTTCCCTCTTATCTCGGCGTGCTTGTAGGTACGGGCAGCATTTACTGTTTTGGTGCGCAGGACTCAACTTGCTCGACGACGTCCAGCTCCTCCTGAGCCTTCGGTTCCAAGACGTACCGGCCTCGTGCTTGAACCCGCTGTTTACGGTTAGAATGGACGATGGCCGCCTGCACTCGGCGCTCCACGTGGCGTGTGCGATGGGCTTTGCAGAGATGGTGCAATGTCTTTTGAGCCACCTTGCGAGCGTCGGCCACGCCTTGACCACCACGGTCAAGACCGCCCACGGAAAGCGCGTCGCACCGGCCAACGACGGCGCGTCGATGCGGCTGGCGTCCCTACGGGGGTGGACCAACGACAGGCTCGAGACACCGCTGTTTGTGGCCGTCGTGCACAACCACGTATCAGTCGTCCAAGTGTTTTTGGACAACTTGTCGTCGGACGAGCGCGCGGCGCAAGTGCGCATCGCCAACGTCGAGGGCGCGACGCCGCAGCACGTGGCGACCGAAAGCGTCCGCCAGCTGCTGGGATTACCGATTCGGTCCATCTTTCGCTTTGAGTATGTCCTTATCTTTGATCGCACTCATGCGTCGTTCCGGAAGACGCTGGTCGATGTGTTGGCGGAGGAGAGCTCGCGGGCGCCGTCGGCCGTCGTCACGCCCGCTGGCACGCACCGAGATGGCAAGGTCGCGTTGCTCTTCGTTAAGGGAAAGCTTAGGATGGCATCCTTGTAGACAGTGCACGACGTAATCACGGTCGGCGCCATGGAGCTCGTCATCGCTGAGCGCGCCGAAGAGATGCATCTCAAGCTACGCAAACGTGGCAGCCTCCTGCGCGAGCCATTTGAAATGAAAGCCAAGCATGGGTTCGAACCGTTCATTTCGCTCCATCGGCAACAGGTACGACGCGTGAGAAGAGGCACACCTGAGACTCGACCAGGTGGTCTTGAACATCATCCGCAACAACGTCAACGTGGCGCGGCACGTCCGGACGCATACGATCCGCGACATCTTCCCACTGCACGACAGCCGCGGCTGCCGCGTCATCCACGAGCGCTGGCTCGCACCAAGCCGACCCCGTCTCTCGGTGACGCTCACCGAGTTTGTCACAGAAGGTCGTGGGCACAACTACAGCGTACTACTGTCGCTTTGAACAAAGGGAAACGCGGCTGCGTCTAGGCGCTGTGGGCGATTCTGACGTATTTCGGTGAAAAGCCCGCCTTGTATACCGGCTGGATGATGTTTTACACGGCGTGGCTGCTCGCGATCGCGCCACTGTGCTTGCTCATCCAGGTATTTTTCTTTGTATTTTGTGAAGATTGATAGATTGATAGTTCTGTCACCTAGTTGCTGTCGCTGGTCGGGTACGAAAGCGGAGTGTTGTATTTGGCGATCATCGTCTCGCTCTGGACGACGCTCATGGTCGAGCGCTGGAAGCGCAAGCGGTCCGAGCTGCTCTGCAACTGGGGCTTGCCGCAGACGAGCGACACGTCGGGCGTGTCGGCCGAGTACCACGGGGACTTTGTCGTCGATATGCGCACGAACGAGGTCGAGCGTACGCTCTTCTTTTGGCTCCAACGACAGCGTCGTAGATGGACGTGCGGTTCCCGTCGACGCTGCAGCACCTCCGCGTCGCACTCGGAACCCCGGCGCTGCTAGTGATGGGCGCTATCGCGATCCTAGCGTTTGTGCTCTCGCGCTTGGCCAACAACGTCGACGCATGGAAGCCATATGCCCTCGGCATCTCGTCGCTGTATGCGATTCTGATGCTAGTTCTCGACTGGGCGTACACGCATGTTGCGTATATGCTAACGCGCTGGGAGAACCACCGCACAGTGTGGTATATTTTGTCTCTTCGCTGCAAGACAATATTGTATTGAATGGTGCTAGCGGCTACGAAGCGATGCTTGCGATGAAGTTGTTTTGGTTCAAATTTCTCAACGCCTTCATCTCGCTCTTTGCCTTGGCGTTTGTCGATCAGGACTTTTCCGCCCTCCGCATGCAGCTACTCACGATCCTCGTCGTCCGACAGGTACACGACAATATTGTCCTACAAAATCGACTAGAAAAATGTGTTTGCAGCTCAAGAACCTCGGTGTCAACTATGTGCTGCCACTCCTCCATGTACGCTACCTCTGGCGCCGCCACGGCTACGTCCAAGCCACCGACTTTTTCACGTATACCAATCCTGAAGACAACGGTCGGGTTAGGGTCTGCAGGCGGACCACGTCACGTTGACGTAGGTGCTATTCCGACCCCGGATGCCATCGACGCCAACGAAAGCGAAGACGAAAAAACTGTGCCAAGCGGTATCGCCATGCAAGCGCTCATGTACCCGAGCGACCTCCTCCTCAACAAGCAGGTCGCCAACGATCCTTTGCAGACACCAAACTTGGGTGTTTTTAGATTGATTTGATGATGCAGTTTGGCTACATCACGATGTTTGTGACCGTCTTTCCCGCGGGCCCGTTCCTCGCCGCGATCAACAACGTCCTCGAAGTGCACTTGGACGTTCGGTGCAGCCTCGAGGCGAAGCGCCGGCCGTTCTACGACTGCGACGTTGAAGTCACGACGTTCATGTCGATCCTCGAGTTTATGAGCTTGTACGTATGCTTGTCGTCGCGCTAGTAAAGTGAGTTTAAACTAGTGCGGCCGTGACGGTCAACTGCGGCCTCCTCTTCCTCGGGACCGACCTCGACGTGTACATTGCGGCGTACTGGGCTCCCTCGACGCTGCTCAAGAAGGTCGCGATCATCCTAGTGCTCGAGCACTTTCTATTGGGACTCAAAGCGACGCTCGTGCTCATGATCTCCGACATGCCCAGCTGGGTCGACCAGTACTACACGGACTTGGACCGGTCCGATGCGAGCCTTGATGCCTCGATCGCGACAGCGTCCAGAGACCTCTTGGCATCGACACCAAGCACCGTGCGGGATGCTACCGACATTGACGATCGCGCGAGCTCGGCGAGCTCGTCGACGACGACGCAGAGCACGCAGACGACGACCGTTCTGCCGCCCATCGAACGCGCCAAATCGCCGCTGCATGCGTCGACCAAGTGCTTACATAGTGACGTTGCGACTACGGTCGTACTGCCGTTGCGTGAGCCACTGCAGTTGGCAGCACCAACGGTATCACTGGATGACGCATCGCACGTCTGCGCTGTTTGCGAAGTCGTGGCGATGACGCCGTCCCCCGCGATCGTCAAGTGCATCGAGTGCAAGATCGAGCTCTGCGCGACGTGCGACCGCGTGCTCCATCAACGGCAGCTGCCCGGCCTTCCTGGTACCCACGTGCGGGTGCCGCTGTCGGACCAAGCTCCTGGCGACGAGTTTACGCGGCGCCTCCTCGACGTCCAGCAAGCCTTGGCCATGCCGACTGTCGACAGCGCATCGATGGCGCCGACGACGACCGAGACAAGCGTAGCGTCCCGTCGCTTCCGAGGCCATCCCGATGTACTGCAAACGTACTGGGCGAATAAAGCGCAGGACACTAGTTGATTTAATGAGCACTGGACCCACTCGAGGGCGTCTTCTGCCCCCAGTCAATCTCGAGTGCGCAACCGGAGAGCACGGCCATGTTGGCCACGGGGCAGCGGCGCTTGACGTGGTCGCAGAGCTCGGTCACTTGCGCCTGCGACGCGGTCGTGTACACGGTCGCTGTGCCCCAGACGCGCGCGAGGCGGGCGACAGGCATGGTCGCTGGGTCGGTCGTCAATGGTAGCTGCAGCGCGCCGAGGCTGTCGCGCTCGGCGTACACGTCAAACTCAATCTTCTCGACGTGCACGCGCGGAGTCATGTGGCGAGCGACAAACGTGGCTGTCGCGAGCTCGCAGCCGCAGAGCGACGTGAGGAAGAGCTCGATGGGCTGCGGCGCCGCGTCCGAGCCGCCCATGCGCCGTGGCACGTCGGTCGCCATCGTGATCGACGCGTCGCGGGCCATGCTGCACTGGACGTTGGCGCCCATGCCGGTCAGATGGTACCGCATCGGCCGCGCGAGGGTCGCCATGCACCGACGCATCCCTCCCGAGAGTTGAATTGGCTAATTCCACCCAACCTTACATTTGCCCACACTGCATTTGGAACTAAACAGGATATTTGGACCCAAACAGTGGCCAAGAAACAGTGTTTTCAAAACAGTGGCTTGAAAGAGTAGGAGAAGAACAGTGCCTTGAGACAGTGTTTACACGGCTACATCTTGTCCTGATAAATATGGACGGTGGATCGACTAGATCGGCGTGACTTTGTCCACATGGAGCTTGGGAAGGCGCAGCGGACGCAGACCACTCTCAGCCACCGGCGGCGCCCCGTTCTTCTCGACAAGCGGCGGGTTGTCCTCGCTAGCGCTCGACGCACTGGCGTCGACTGCTTCCTCATTTGCTTTGGGCTTCTTTCCCGGATGCCGATGTACGTGCCGCGCCTTCTTCTTCCCGTTCAATGGCTTGCCTGTCCCTTCCGCACCGTCGAGCTCGACCGACTTGCTCATCGTTAGTGCTGCACCGGTTGCCTCGACGTCCATCACAGATGAAGCCTCCACAGGCGCCACCGTCGCTTCCGCTGCAAGGTTGTGTTCGGTCGAGTTGCTCGGTTGGATCGTTGCTCCCGTCGTCGTCGCGGTGCCAGCAACGGGGGCGTCGACTGCCGACGCCGTAGCCGAGAGCATGTGGGCGTCTCTCGCCGGCGAGCTCTCCACTGTGATCGTCCCGTCGGCTACTGGCTGACTTGAGACGATGTCACCATCGACCGATACTCGCAGACGACGCTGTGGTATATCGAAGGGTGCCTCCTCGATCTTGAGGGTCGGTGTTGATAGCGCAGTCGGGACTTGCAGCGGAACGGCATCCAGGAGGCTCGATGCGCCACACGTCACCAACGGTGCGTCCGCCGTCGCCACCGCATCAACTTGTACGTCATCGTCGTCCTCGGAGCCTTCGCGAATCGCGATCGATGCCTTGTCTACCTCTTCTCCTTCCTCGTCGTGGGCGTGGAGCCGGGTGTAGACGACGCTGCGTCGATGGGCCACGGTCTTGGTGCACGTGAGCGCGTACATCGTCTCGCGCTTGGCACGAATGCGCGTGCGCTCGATGACGCCGCGGAGCATGGCGCGGACGATCATGGCCGCGACCTTCTCCTTGATGACAAAGATCTGCTTGACGCGGTCGCGCTGCTGCTCGTACGAGAGCGCGCGAATTCCCATGTGGTGAATGCACACGGTCCGGAGGAGCGCGTTGAAGAACGGGGTACTTTGCGGCGTCGACGGCGCGAGCTGCACTTGCTCAATCTCAAACCGAAGGTGCAAGTACGCCATGCGGTTGCCGGCTGTGCTCACGCGCAAGTTGGGCGGCAAGTCCTACAGACATCGTTGGATAGTTGGATAGGTGGATAGGTGGATAGGTGGATAGGTGGATAGGTGGATAGGACGTACGTGCAAGAAGCGCGGGAGCATGTAGATCGGAATGATGCCCTTGTGGAGCGGGTCGTACTTTTCAAAGACCTCTTGGTACCCCTCGAAGTCTTCGAGCGTCACGGGACTGATGTCCTTGACGTAGCAGCTCCGAAAGTTCTCGAGGATGACCGCGATGAAGAGGTTGAGAAAGATGTAGACGATCGCAATGACAAACACGAGGTAGTACACCCACGCCGCGTAGTAATCGCCGCAGTCCGTGTCGGTCCCGATCGTTGCGCAATCGGCGCCTTCCACCTACGCCTCGAAATTGAAATTTCCGTTTGTTGAAACATTGAAACATTGAAATTCCGAAATTTCGGTACCATGCAGTCGGTCATGAGGAGGTGCCACTCGCCACCGGCAATGAGATCAAAGAGCGTCAACAGCGCGTTCCCAAATGTCTGGAAGTTCTGTGTTTCGTTGAGGTTGGGGCCATATTTGATCGTGCCAAACAGCTACAAAAATAAAGAAACGATCCATCTATCCACCGACTCGACGAAGAATACCTGGCGCCCGAGGATGGCAAAGATGTACAAGAGCAGAACGAGGAGCAAGACGACGTTGCCGATGGACGAAAGACTCGCGCGGAAGGTCCGGAAGATGGTCCGCACGCCCTTGCTCACTTTGACAAACTTCATGACGCGCATGACACGAAAGATGCGACCAACCTAGACGAGGCTACATCAGCCAATAGAGTCTTTTTGAAGAGAATCGACTTGAGAAATTTGGTGAATCGAAATCCCGGGCAAGTACGAAACGTAGGACCCGATGAGGAGCACCAAGTCAAACACGTGCCAAGTATCGCGAAAGATGTGTTGGCCGAACGCCACGAGCTTGGTCGCAAACTCGCACGAGTACGAGACGACAAAGAGCTTGTCGATCGTCTATCCACAAATGGGTCGAGTCCTTAGTTCGACATGTCAGACTACCTCGAATGCGAACTTCCATTGCTGCGCTGCTTTCGTTGGGTTGAGCAGCATGAAGAGCATGTTGATGACGATGATCGACGACATGAAATGCTCGAAACGATGGGCTAGGCATCCGTTATAGACAATATGCTCCATCTTGTAGGAAAGCGCACATTTGGCCACGCGGTAGAACCGACTTCGTATCGCATTGGTGGGCTCGGGGACGCTGTAGCGTGGTTTGAGCAACAGCATGTGGCGCTCGAGCTCGACCCAACTAGACAAACACGTTCGGTCTACAAGGAAAATGACAATAATGCGTACCATTTTTGGCTCGGTGTGAGAATCTGCGTTCCGTTGTTGCGCTGGAATTGCTCGACCTACGATCTTATTGAGTCGAAGCCGATTTGGTCGAGGACGCACGAGGACGCCGACGAAGAGCCGAATGAGGAAGAAGCCGCCGACAAACACAAACGAGATAAAGTAGCCAATGTAGATCATGCTGTAGTTGAGAATTGGCTGCTCGTTGAGGCCCACAATGTCCATGGCGAATTCGGCCGTGTCCACCCACTAACAGACAATGTTGTCTTTGAAACGCAATGAAAATGGGTACCTTGACGGACGAGAGCTCCATGAGCGCAATCATCGAGCTCGCCAGCGTGTCAAAGCGAGCGCGATACGGCACCCATACGCGGGGCATGAGCACGGGCGTGTCGGACGCCGGCAGCGGCAGCGCTTCGTAGAACCCGGTGCACTGGGCGCGGTTGGCCACCGAGGTGTCGTTGCACGAGTACATCTACGTCAGTCACGAGTATAATGTTGTCCGTTTCCAACAATGCAATCTCAAATGCAATCTCAAATGCAATCTCAAACGGCAATCTCAAACGGCAAACGCAAAGTACCTTTTGGGAAAAGAGCGTCCGGCCCGTGATGCCAAAGATAATAAAGACACCGAGACAGAGCACGAGGACGTCGAGGACCGCGGGAAGTGCGGCAGCGAACGACGTCATGATGAGCTTCATGTCGCCGTCTTGGTTGAAGAGTCGAAGTGGTCGCAAGACGCGCCCGACGCGAAGGACCTTGACGAGGTTGTTGCCCTTCGTGCGCTGCGTGCCGTAGCTAATGGCTTCGTCGAGGACTGCGACGATGAGAAGGCAAATGTCCAGTCGGTTCCAAGGGTCTTCAATGTAATGTTTCTTCATTGTCCGATGTGGCGTCTTGCGCGAGTTGCTCTCATATCGGCTGCGATAATACGCGCGCTCGTACCACGGCAGCAAGCGCGAGAGAAGGTAACGAAAGCCAAAGCCTTGTGACGTCACTTTGAGTGCAAATTCAATGACAAAGACAACGAGTGCAAACGTGTTGACGGACGTCAGCGCGTAGTTCTTGGCGTTTTGCGCGGCGAGCTCAGCGGCCGAGAGCTGGCTGGTGATGACCGGGTCGTCGATGGCCAAGCCGACGCAACTCAGCACGATCGTGAGGATGATAAACCACTTGAACGCGGCCGAAGCCAGAATTTTGTCAATTCGGGCCACAATGTCCTCCAAGAACGCGTCCGCCGGGGCCACGGACACTGCCGCGTGCACGTGGCGCTCGCTCACGCCAAGGAACCGCCGGGCTTTGATGTCCTGGACGTTCTCGAGCTGCCGGATGTCGTTGTTGGCGTAGAAGGCGCGGACGCCGACCTCTTCGATTTTCTCGAGCATTTGGAGCTCTTTCGGGATCGCCAAAACGCGCTCGAGCTGGAGTTGGTACGCTTCCTCTTCAGAAATTTCAAAGTTTTCGAGAATCACCGCAATAAAGAGGTTGAGCACGACAAATTGCCCGAAAAACACAAACACCATGAAAAAGGGCGCAAAAAAGAGAGAGTCGCGCTCGAGGATCGACTCCATGACTTCGGCCCACGCGTCGCCCGAGAGCACTTGGAAGAGCGTCACGAACGACTGCACAAACCCCTGGAAATTGCGTCGCGGCATGTCCTTCTCGAGGCCAAAGAGCTGCATCGCCAGCACGCTGTGCACTACATTCGCACAATCATGACGGAAATGCCGACAGAAACACGTCGTACCAATCAGAATGAGCAAGAGAAACACAAAGAGGTTGAAGACGGCGCGGCTCGACTTGAGCACCGACTCGATGAGCTTCCGCGTGCCTTTCCAGCGCCACATGAGCCGACCAATCCGCAGCGTGCGCAAAATGGACACATTGTCCATCCATGACAGCGTGTTCAAGTCGCCGTCGTTGGTGTACTTGAGACACTAGACGCACGCAACTTTTAGGCCCGACGCTGAATACGGGCGTGCAGTACCGAGACGCACACGCTGGTGCCGACGACGATCGCGTCAAACCAGCGCTCGTAAGCACTTAGAAACAAGCCAACGCTAGACACCAGATAATGACATTGTCGCCAATATGGATATAACAAAATACGAGTTTGTACCTCTGGAAGGCGTAAAATTTGAGCAAAACCTCAATCGTAAATACGCCGGAAAAGAAAAATTCGACGTCGTCGAAGAAGCTCTGCCACGGTTCGCCCATGTTGGGGTACTCGGTCATGAGCGCCAGAGTGTTGACGATGATGCACAACATGACAAGGTCCGCAAACGTCTCCGACAAGATAAATCTACAAAAACCGATAAATGCGCCGCAATCTACGGCCTTTTACCTGCGAAAGCGCCCCGAGACGCCGGGCGCCGAGGCCAAATGAAGCCGAAACTTCTCTTCCGCCGAGACGTGAGTCGATGCAAAGAGGTCTCGCGAGCTCACAAAGCTGGTGACGGTCTCGGTCGGCAGCGACAGCGAAGAAAACATGCGGCGCGTGAGCTCGCCGTCGGTCGTCGCGGTGCTCCTGCGCCGACTCGACTCGTCGTCCGACTCGCTTTGTGCCGACAGCAGTGCAGGCAACGGCGGCACGTCGTGGGGTGTGCTATTGCTAGCTTGCTCGACCGCCATCGTCGTTCCGAGCACCATGTACAGGTGTTGCTCTTCGTCTTCCTTGCCCATTTTGCGCATGTCGAGCTGCCCACTTGCATGTGCCGGCTCGGTAGTGCTGCACTCGCCGTCGTGGCCCATGAAGGCGGTTGTTATGACCGCGACAAAGAGGTTGAGGACGAGGAAGACAAGGAGAAACACAATCAAAATGAAGAAGAGCAGCGCAATGTCCGACGTCGTTTGCAGCGCCGGGTCCATGATCGAGTCGATCCAGCCGTCGAGGACCATGACTTGGAAGACAAGGAGGAAGGACGCAAACCCGTTCTGGAACGAGTGAAAGGAGCTGTTGTCCGAGCTGTCGACGCTCGCGCAGACAAAGGTTGGCGGACACCCAGTGTTGCTGCTGCAATAGACCACTAGTCCTCGTTTTAGACACCCTTTTCGAAACGACAAAAATGCTACCAGGGTACATGAGGCGCGTGTCGTTGGTCAGCAATGGCGTATTGGGCGTGCCCTGCACGGCGCACATGCCGTCGTAGACAGTTGAGAACGCCTAAGAGCATTGTAGCCGTAGGTCGTAATCGCAGATAAAAACCATACCTCGAGCCCCAGAATACTAAACATGAGGAGGAAGAAGAAGGCGAGGACACCGACGTTAGTGAGGAGCGGAATCGCCTTGGTAATGGCCGAGAGGATGCGCTTGATGCCTCGTACCGCTGTGAAACACCGATAGGCTTTCAAGCCCCGGAGCACGCGCCATTGTGAGAGGGTCCCAAAGCCCAAGACGCAGAACGAGAGAAAGCTCGAGGTCACGACCAGAAACTGCACGACCGCCGTCTTGTTGCGAATGAGCGGGTCTACACAGTCCTATGAGCCATCATAAAGGAAGAAAATGCATCTAGCTACGGTGGCCGTGGAAGGCGCCGTGGACGCTGATGCGCAGTGCGAGCTCGAACGCAAAGAACAGTGTCAATACAAAATCCAAGACGCCCAAGGCCGTACTGCCCGTCGAGTCCAGTGCCATAATGAGCGTGTCGAGCAAGACTGCCCCCGCAATCACAGAGCTTGCGTACTTGCGTCGAAGCGTGCGCTTGGCAAACCGTCGAAACCGCGCCTCGATCGACGGCGGGCCCGACGACTTGGCCGCGATCGCATGTTCATTCTCGGTGCGTTCGCTTGGCGCCATGCGCGACGGCGACCGCTCCCGCGTAGACCGCATCGACTTGAAGGCCATTTGAGCCAGCGGGTTCATAGTCGGCCGCAAGTGCATGGTCGCGCGACCGGGCGTCGGGTCGTGGTTCTTTGGCGACCGCGGCGGGCTCTTGGTGGTCGGCGTCCGCGGCTGGATGGTCGGGCGCGGTGGCGGCGGGTCGTCGTCCTCGGGAATCGAAGCGGCAGGCGACTGGAGCATCGACCGCTTTCGCTCTTGGCGCTTGGCGTGCAAGTCGTTGAGCTTCTCGCGCCGTGCGTGATGCACTTGACCCCACACGTGCTGTTTGAAGATCGGGTTGCAGAGCATTTGGGACGCCTTCCGAGCGATGCTGTTGTGGTGCGCCGACGTGCCCGTGATGTTGGCGCGGACGACGGTGCCCACCGTGTGGTTCCACGTCCCGCCCTTCGCCGCCGGCTCGTCCATGAACCGTCGCAAACGTTGTCCTTTCTGGCGGTTGCTCTATTTTGGCGCGCCCGTTTTGTCCTACCGGCGCACGCCAAACGATGCGATTGGCCAAAACAAACGCACCAATCACAGCCCGAGCTCGAGATCTTCTTGACTCTAGTCGGCTCTGCAAGCTCGACTGCACATTTGCTTCGAAGTTGGGTGAACGACGCAAAGGAAAATATGTAATAGAATGCTATGACTAAATCGTCAACACTATACGCTATCTCGCAAGTCCTCGAGAAGCGAACGCATGGGACTTAGTTTAGACATGGGTCAATAATAAAGACCCATGGCTTAGAGAAGATGCTGTGGGCAGCTGAGTAATATGTCGTAAGACCACCAGAGCGTAGCATCACGGCCTGCGCTAACTGCGAAAATGCGTGCGCGACAACGTGAGATACAATCTGTATACCGCAGGTGGTAGACACCGTGCTAGTGGACATGCCTATTTGTTGGGACTTGAATAATCTTGCCAAAGGCTGCAGGTTGCACGCTATTCTCGGTCCAGTGCCGTAGGACACGAAGTGCATTTCGTAAAATTCGCCAAATGATTACCGTGCAGTATCTCCGAGCAAACGACGACTAGGACACTTTGTCGCTGCACGAAGGGTCCGATGCTGAAGCCACAAGGCGAGTCCTACGAGGACCTGGGACATGGCGCGCTGCGTTTTTAAAATGGCTTGCGATTTGTATGGATTTTACCACCTGGCATTTCCTTAAATTTTGCAAAGATTTCAAAATCGAAGTAATTGGCTTCGAAGTTCAACTTCGATTGTGGCGCTTCGCCTTGGACGTTGCATTTTGCGACTGGCAGCATGCTCGCACCGGGTACCCGGCCTCTACCATGCAGCGGATGGCGTCCGACGACCTCCATCGATGTAGGCTGGGAGCAGCTCGAGGATGCGCAAGGCCGCGTCTTCTACGTGAACCACGCGACGCGCGAGGTGCGACGACGACGACTCGATGCATGCGAGCCAGCTCATGTGTAACGTGTAGACGTCGTGGACGCCGCCGTCGACGCTACCACTGCCGCCGGGCTGGGAAGAGATGCGCGACGACCAGGTGCGAGACCCGCCTTGTGCTAGCAGCGCGTCATGATGAGCGCTGTAGGGGCGCGTGTACTTTGTCGATCATGCCACGCGCACGACGACGTGGATCGATCCGCGCGAGTCGCAGATCAACCAAATGGCCACCGAGCTCGACCGGTATGCGAGCGAGCGTGAAGGCAGCGTCATCTCGGCGACGACCATCTCGATGTCCGAGCCCGAGCCCGCCGCCATGGCGCCGCCTCTTGTGCCTGCCGTCGCGCCGCTCGTGGTGCAAGAAGGCATGTCGGCCTCGTGGGCCCCGATCCCGGACGTCCAGGCCAGTTACTTTGCCCCGTACATTGTGCCGGACGCTGCGCGCATGGACTGTACCCAGTGCCGCCTCAAGTTTGGCGTCCTCCGTCGACGCGTCCGTGCTTCCTTATCCCTCCTCTTGGCCTTATCCGCCCTTGTGTAGCACCACTGCCGTCTCTGCGGCGGGCTCTTTTGCGGCGACTGCACCGACAAGGTGCCGATCCCGAGCCTCGACGGTCGCCAGGTACCTACGTCGTCATTCCTGAATGCGCTGCAACGTACATGTCTATGGCTAGTCGGCGTGCAAGCGCTGTCAGCGCAACATGGCGGCGGGCGACACGACCTCGATCGTTGGCCTTCTCGGGCTCCTCACGCAAGGCGGTAGCACGCCCGTGCCGCAAACCATCGAGCGCCTCCGCGCGTTGGCCAAGCTGCTTGCGACGCCGCGCCAGGAGACGGACCCGGCGATGGGCAAGCTACGCCTCGGGCAGCTCAACGACGTCGAGGCCGCCGGTGGTGTCGCAGTCGTCTGCAGCCTCCTCAAGAACGTCGACCCGCAAGACGTTCAGATCCACGCGCTCCTTGTGCTGTCGCACCTCGCCGCGCTCTACAACCGCATCCTGTCGCCGACCGCAGGCGACGTGGCCGCTGCATCCGGCGTCTGCGCCACGATTGCGCTCTGTCTCTCAATGGCCGTGCCCGAGCTAGAGGTCCACGCGTTGCACGCCATGTACCATCTGTGCCAGTCCGGCTCCTCGGCGTGCCTCGTACATGCTCCATTGTGTCTCTACCGAGCTCACGGCGTATGTAGACGGCACTGCGGACGGCCGGCGCGGGCGCGCACGTACTCGAGATTCTCATCGTGTCAGAGTCGCTCGACGTCAAGGTCCGACATGCTCGTCTTCCTCGAGTCTCATCTTGGTGGCGTAGCGCGATGCGGTCCAGTGCCTCTGCGCCTACACGACCAAGGACATTGAGAATGTGACCGACTGTATCACGCACAACGGCGCGCAGGTGCTCCTCTCAGCGCTGCTCGTCTTGGCGGCCGCGGGCGACGTGATCGGGCTTCACGCGGTGCTGCCGACCTCGACGCGGCTTATGACGGCTATGACGCCCGACCAGCAGCGCGAGTTCGCCCTCGACCCGACGCTGGTCGCCCAGAGCTACGCTTCGCTGACACCGCTGCTTGCGTTCGACGAGCTCGCGACTGCGACATTTGGCTTGCTCTACGCGCTCGCGGTCGACCCGACCAACGCTGCGCTCTTGGCCCAAAACCCCGCGCTTCTCAGTGTGCTCACGGCGCGGCTGGACGACGAGCAGGACCAAGCGGAGGCGATGCGTGTCTTGGCCGCCATGGTGCGGCCCCTCGAACGGGGCGTCGCGCTGCTCCCGGCGCTGGCAACGGCCAACAGCCTTGTCGCGACCATGACGTGGCTGCACACGAGCACGCAGAGCGTTCCGTTCACAGCATCGGTCCCGGCGCAGGCCGACATGTTTGTGCTCGTCTCGGCCTTCGCGACTGTGCCCGAGTTTGCCAACGTGATTGTGCAATGCCACGGCGTCCCGTCGACGCTCGCCGTGCTCTTTCACTCGCCCGAGCTGCTGGATGCGTCGCTGTTGCTGCTGAGCCGCCTCGCGACGGCGGTCGGCGGCGTCGTGGCCGAGGTCGTCGAGTTTGGCGCGCTCGAAGCCATCGAGTCAGCGTTCCAAGACCCGACCGCGTCCAAGACGACCAAAGAAGCGTCGATCACGTTTTTCGAGCAGCTCGGGCGTCAAATGGCGCCGACGACGACCGTGACGGTCGGCACGGCCGACGTGCTCTTTGGTCTTGTCGGGGACGACCGGTTCGAACGCGGCGCACTCAAGGCTGTGACGACGCTCTGCGCGACGCGGCCTGCGCTCCAAGCCCGTGCGATCGGCAGTTTGTACCCAAGCACGCTCCACGCGTTTGTGCTGCACGGCTACATTGCGCGGGACTTTCTTCTGGAGGTGCTCGCGTGTCTGGCCACGCTCACGAGCGCACCCGCGCTCCTGGATGCCGGCGGCTTGACCGCGGCGTGCGCCGTGCTGCAGCGGCAGGAAGCCACGCTGTCGGACCCGGCAATCGCGTCCCTTGCTCTCGACTTGCTCCTCTCGATGCTGCAGACGGGGGCGCGCACGTCCGGATGGAGCCATCCGCCGACGATGCAGACAGTGTGGTCGACCATGATTACGTTTCTTGTCAACCATGCGACGGCCGCCGAGCTCGTGCCCAAGGCGCTCGACGGCGTCCACGTGCTCCTCTTGCACATCGTGTGGAAGGCTCAGTTTGTGACCTTGTATATCGCTGGCGCGTCGGGCCATGCGGCGTGCCTCGATTTCCTGGAGCTGCTCGGCGAGCTGCTCGAGAAGGCGTACACCGGGGCATCGTCACTTCTCTCAAATCTCCTCTCGATCGTGTCGGAGCTGGCCGCGACGCATACCGCGCTGCCGTACCTGTTGCAAGCCGACGTGCACCGGGTTGTCTTGCGTGGGCTCGGCGTTCCGCTGGCGCTCGAGACCGTTCTCAGCGTCGTCCAGGCCATGCTGCGGTCGCCCGCGTTCATCGCGGCGCTCCTCCAGCACGCCGAGGCCCTAACGCACCTCGTGGCGCTGTACGCCAAGGGCAACACGGTCGCCGCTCATGTGTTTTGCGTGTTGGCCAAGGAGCCGAGTATGTGGAGTGCCCCTATCGACGGGTTTGTGGCGACGATGCTACTGCAACTGCGGTCGCTGGACCCGATCGTGCAGCCCCTCACCGAGAGCATGCTGGCCAACACGACCAAGATCACTCTCGTTGAGCCATCGCTCGAGGACCTCCACACGTTTCTGCGGGCTCATGCGGTCTGGCGCCATCTGGTCGCGGCCAACGACCTCGCGACGGTCAATGTGATCCTCGGGGCGTCCGGACTGCAGCTGCACGACCACGTACTGCTCTCGGCCGTGCTCATTGGGAGTGACTTGGTCGTGTCGTCCACCAACGACGATGACGTGGCGACGTACCGGGACCTTGTGCTCGCCCTCTTGCCGACGCAGACGACGACGGCTTCCGTGCGGCTCCACTGCCTCGTCGGCCTCGGCAACCTCATCGACTGCAACCCGGACGCAATGAAGAGTCACATTGCGCCGCTCATCGAGTCGCCCGACTCGTGCCGCGCCGCGCTGTGCGGCCTCTCGTCCAAAGACCACGTCGCCTCGACGCTGACGGTGCTCGAGTTTGCGGTGAGCGAGGGGTGTGACATGGGCCTTGTGTGGGCGACCGTCAACACGTACCGCGCGCGCCATCTTCTTGTCTCGGCGATCGCGGGCATCTTCCACGACGACGACGCCGGCACACGGGAAGCGTGCGTTGTCTTGACGGCGTTTGTGTCGCGGCCGCCGCTCAAGACGGCCGAGGTCAACGTGCTCTGCGAGGTGGCCCCCCGCATCTGCGAGGTCGCGGGGGCGATGCGGTCGGTCGCGCTGCCGCTGCTGGTGGCGCTTGTCGCGCTTCCGCGCGTGGCGCTGGCGCTCATTGACGGTGGCGCGATCGAGTACATGGTCGCGTTTCTTCAAACGAGCGCGGGGCCGGACAGCGACCTCTGTCAGCGCGTGCTCGTGTCGCTCTCGTCGATTCCATTGGGCACGGAGCGGCTCAGTCTCTGCAACGGCGTGTCCACCTTGCTGAGCTTTGTGCAGTCGCTCGCCGCCTCCGACGCCCACGCATCCAACGTCCTTGCCATCGTTCAAGTCCTGCACCTTGTCGCGTCCAAGGACAAGGCGGCGCGCCTCGTCGTGGCCGAAGCCGTCGATCTCTGGGCGCTACTGTTACAGCACTCGATGCAGCCCGACGCCAGTGAAGCGTACTCGTGCCTCGACTCGGTCGCGCGGCCGGCGTCAACGTCCAAGTACACGGCCAACGCGCCGCTCGCGCACCTCGTCGTCGACCTTCTCGTGCGCGTGTGTGCGGTTGCCGACGCCCGGGCGCACATTGTGGGCCGAGGTGACGTCTACGCCGAGCTCTACATGTGGCTGCAGTACATCACCGAGCGCAGCGCGGTCGAGCATGCTGCGATCGCAATAGGGGCGTTGACGCTGCTCCGGTACCGGTACATGGCGCGCCTCGCCGCCGCCGAAATGCACGATGCGCTCTGGGATCTCCTGGCGGTGCTGGCGGGTCCCGCCTTTCTCTTGGTGCATGAAGAGGTCGGTCGGACGATCGCGGTTCTCTGCACCGTGCTCGACGACCCGTCGCGCTGCAAGGACGTCTTGTACCTCGTGCAAGTCCACGTGTACGAGGCGCTCACCGAGACAAGCTCGCTGCGCCACGCATGGCTGGACGTCGCGCTGAGCCTGGGCCACACCCGCGTCCGGGCCTTCTTCCCCATGCTGCTGTTGCAGTGGCTTGTGTTTGCATCGCTTGACGATGACGCGGTGCGGCCGCTCGCAGTGCATGTCCTCGACGTCCTCTGCTACGACACTGCGTTCCACGTGTCGATCTTCAACAACCCAAGCGTCGTGCAGTGGCTGGCGACGCATGCAGCGACCGATATGACGGTGCGGCGTATCTACGTGGCCCTCGGTGTCGACGTCCTCGAAGTGTCCGAGGCGCCAACAGAGAACGATGCGCTGGAGACCGCCGCCTTGTCGGAAGATGCGATCGATGAAGGCGCGGCCGACGGTGCATTTGGGTACGGCCCTGTGCGGACCGATGCAGTGCTGGCGACGCAGCTGTCGCGGGACCTCGAATCCCGCTACTCGGGCTACTCGGACAACTATGCCTCGAGCTACGGCGACAACTATGGCTCATCGTCCTCGAGCTTTGCGCCGGGCTCGTACAGCAGCTACGGCGAGTACGCGCCGAGCTCGGGCAGCACCAACTACTACAACGAGGCGGTCATCGACGACGACGACGAGCACGTCATTTGCCCGCACTGCCTCGGCAACGTCAACGTTCCTCCGGGTTGTAGTGCATATTTGCACACGATTCCGTGTCCACTGTGCCAGCGCCCGCTCGGCGGCTCGTCGCCAAGTCCCGCCCCCGCGCCGCCGGGCACGACCACGATCATCTGCAAGGGCTGTCACCGCGGTCTGCACTTGCCCGACGGCTTGGACCTCGCCGACGTCGTCTGCCCCGAATGCAACTCTGTCAACAAGTTGTCGTTGGAGAGCTCAAGACAGTATCCTCACTGTAGTTGGCGTAGGATCGAACAACCGCCCAAGCCGACGCTCGTCAAGTGCGGCCACTGCCACAAGATGCTGTCGGCGCCGCCGGGGCAGCCCACGATCCAGTGTGGCCACTGCAAGGGCGTTTCGCGTGTCATGGGCTCGGACGGTACATATCTCGGTCCTTCCGACGCTGACGAGCTCGGCGTAGACGTTGTCAAGGTGACGTGCGCCAAGTGCAAGACGCTCTTGGCCGTGCCGAGCGGCTCGACGGTATACAAGGTACTCGGTCCTTTACGAGGGTAGGTGCTGATATTGCTTGTTGCTAGTGCCTCAAATGCGGCCACGTGTCCAAGTGAGATCGTCGTCGTCTCTGTCATGTGTCGTTACGCGGACGCGTCCATTAAACTTAAGAGATCGTCGTCGTCGCTGCCCTTCTTGCCTACGTACAGTGTGGTATCTTTCAATGTTTCAATGTTTCAAGGTGGTGGCACCTTCGGCGCGGGCCTTGACGTCGACATCAAAGTCGTCGAGGAGGTGCTTGGTCGAGGCCTTGTGGTCGCTCAGCGCGTCGATAGTGATCATCGTCACGTGCGCGTCATGGCCCTTGCTGTCGCTACACACGAGCGAATGTCAACAACCTTGCCAAGTGGAGACACGGACTACTCGTCGTCGTCGTCGCCCGTGTCGCCGGCAAAGAGCGCGATCTTGAACGGTTTGGCTTCCGTCTCCTTGGCCGAGTTGCCGAGGAGGTCGGCGAGCAGGTTGAGTCCGTCCTGCGCTGTCGCCTTGTACTGCTTGGCCGGCGCGTCGGCCTTGTCGGCGCCGCGTGCGCCCGTGCGCTTGGCATCGGCCGTCATTTCAGCCACCGACTTGAGGTCGGGCTTGGCCGTGGGCGCATACCTACCCCTACTGTCATGTCTCATAGTTTGGCGAGTTGGACGCACAAATTCTCGCCAAATGGGCACAGTGCTGGGTCCCGCGTCAGTATCGGTCCGTCGTCGACTGCGATCGCGCCGACAGCGTTTTGCAAATCAAACATGTCCTTGTCAACCACTTTGCCGCGGTCGTCAAAGTACCTAATATTGTCGATGCGACAACTTGTACACAAATATTACTACCGGACGACGCCGGGAATGTCCCCGCCGGTCGCGACCGGGCCCTTGGCGCGCAGCACAAAGGCGCCGTCGGGGTTCTGGAGGCCGGACTGGAGGAAGAGCGAGACCTTGATGCGCACGTCTTGGAAGAAGCGCGCGAGGTGCTGCTTGAGCAAGAGAAAGTTGGCGTGCGAGAGCGACCCGTACACCTTGCCGCATGGAATACGACCAATACGATTGGGATGTGGAGCCTACCGACGCCGTGAGCACAACTGCGTCTTCGATGAGCGACGTGGCTTCGTCCGCCTTGACGATCGCCTTGATGCTCTGGAGGTGGTTCATGGTCACTTGCACGAGCTGGTCGGCCGACGAGCACGCGAGGAGGTTCGACTTGAACCCCATGCGCATGAGCCCGTACAGCTACTGGCAATTCTACCAATACGCAGTCGATGCGAGAGGTACCTTGTCCATGCTCGACTGGTTGAGGCGCATGATGGACGAGTGCGCGAGCCGGTCAAAGATCTGGCGCGTCGAGAGGTTCGAGTACATGTGGTGCGGCCGGAAGAGCTCCGAGATGAACTTGGTGTTGTACATGGTCTTGACGACGTCGACGAGCACTACGTCACGCGTGTAGTTCCTCTTTCAGCAAATAATACCAGACCTTTAATGCTCTTGTCGTCGGGGATGTTTTGCGCCTTCAAGCGCTGGTCCAGCACGTAGATCATCTCGCCACCCATGTTGATGAGCAGCATCGGCATCGCGAGGAGCGCCCCGGACGTCATCGTAGAGCCAAAAGCCAAAATCCAAAATCCGAGGTCGAAACTCTCGGGGCTTCTAGATCGCACTCCCCCAACCCTTCTCTCAGAGCGCCTAGGAAGGATATAAAACACTGTCCCTTGAATATATATATATATATATATGAACGCGTTTCGGGTTATCTTCATAATTACAGTACGACTTCGCATGAGACTAGCACTCTCCTTCTTCTTCATTTATGCTGCGCAGCCGGCGGCGCGGGGGCTCGTCGGGCTCTTCTGTCGACGCTTTTGGCAAACACTGTCCCTTGTCAGCGATATACTGATATACTAGTCTTATACGGATTAACTTCTTAGTCGACAGTATCCCGTGGTGTGGGGTGGCCGTGTCCAACTCGTGACTATAGCATCACGGCTCCTTCGTCTCTTGCGGCGGATGCTCGCGTGGTGGCTACGTAGGCGTCGTACCGCTCGGCCTCTCGGGCACCCGGCTGCGCCGTCGTCGACGATCAGAGAATGAAACGATCGCAGTCGCCGTCGTCATTGTTGCACGATGGTGTCAAGCACTCCATGTTGCAGTTGGTGTTGCCCAGCAAGCTCTCGTAGCAGCCAACACTACATTGAGGCGGACAAATGGCGTCTCGGGCTTCAAAGATCTGACGCTCGAGCGGCGAGAGCCCCGTGGCATCACGTCGTGCGCCGAGGCGGTCGCAGAGGGGCGTTTCCCGAAGGACGAGCCGGCCAGTGCGCAGCACGTCGACATTGAACTCGGGTGGCAGCGATGCGATCGGGTTGCCTTCCAAATGCAGCGTCTGGTACGGCCCGATGCTCTCTGCGAGCGAGAGAGGGATTTGCGCAATCGAGTTGTTGACAAAGTTGATGAACCCGACGGCCGGTAGATTTGTCGGCAAATCGAGAATGGCATTGTTTTGGAAATTGAGATATGTCATCTGCGGCGCCAGCACCAGCGGCATCTGAACCAAGCTCGCATTGCTCACTTCGAGCATGACGAGCGTCGTAAACGCTGCGGGCAGTGACGCGTTCGCGTAGAGCGACACGTTGCGCAAGAAGACATAGTGTACATTGCCCGAGAGACGTTGCAAGACCATCGGGACCGCCGGCAAGTAGAGATGGCAGAGAAATATGGCAAACAGCGTACGTGGCAGCGCGTCCGGCGAGACGTCCCAGCGCACCGTGTTGGTTCGCTGCAGCGTGATGCTGTAGAGGTTGCGCATGCGGCTCAATGCTCTCGCTGAGAGTGCACTTGGCAAGTCGCACTGCTCCACTTCCAAGTCAAAGAGGTCGGGTAACATCGGCGCCAGATACGTCTCGAGGTCGGTCACGAGAGGCGTCGTTGCGCAGTTGACGCGCAGCATGACACACGTGCATTCCGTCGCAAGCCACGGATACGTCTGGAGGAGGCAGCCGTGTGGGCAGTGCCGGGCCTGTACGGCCGCCGCCGCGATCCCGAGCAAACCGATACCCGTGCCGACCGAGACGAAGGAGTAGAGGTAGCGCCAGCGCCGAGACAGCACCTTGTTGAGCAAGAGCTTTTGGCGTCCGGCGGGCCTATGCAGCACGGTGTCAGCGAGTACGATTGTATCGTTCAGGTTACGTGAGACGCACGCGGCCAGCGTGGGTCATGCTCCGCAGTGAGAGGTAGCAGGTGAAGAAGGGCACAACTTTGGTCACAAAGTCCAGTGGACTGCTCACGACGACGAAGCGCGCGAGCAAGATCGTCGCGTTGAGCCACGCGTGGTTGTCCAAGATACTCGCATCTTTTGCAAAATAGTACGTGGCGATGGCGCGAAAGTTCAAAATCAACGGAATCCCCGACGAAAGTAGAAATGTGAGAATTGCATCGAGGAAGGCGGCGACCCAGCGACGCGTGAACGGGTTGCCACTCGCGAGCAAGAGTGGCAGCGCGATGCAGTTGCAGACGAGCACAAGCGCGTACGCGAGCGATGCTGTCGCGTCTGTGAGCAGCCAGCTCATTCGGTACGCTTGGTAGAGCTGCGCGGGAATCTGCACCACTTGCTTGAGCATGAGCTTGGCTTCGTACTGCGGCCCCAACAAGCCAAAGGTCCCAAAGCGGCTAAAGTGTGTGGTGTACATGCGCCGCACGCAGGCAGTGCAGCCACGGCCCTCGACCGACGCGTCAGGCGTCTCGGGCGCAATGGACGCGTGCGCGCCGCCGCCTCCACAGCACGCACTGAGGATGCCGCAGAGGTGCAAACCTGCGAGGACGAAGGAGACGCCGGCGTTGAGGAGAGGCGCCCAGACACCGACGACGCGGGCTTGGTCGGCCGGGACGAGCAGATAGACGGCGGCAAAGCAGAGCAGAAAGAACATGGAGCTCAGTAGCAGAAGGACCGCGATCCAGCGGATGACGTGGCGCTTCCAGCGGCCAAAGAGATACGACGGTCGCTCCGGGCCGACGCAGAGCAGCTGCGTCGACATAATGCCGATATAAAAAGGGGGAAACGGAACATGTCAAATTTGGTTTATAAAAAGGACTAGCCACGTAGTTGGAGGTGTGATCGACCTTTGCGGAAGTGTCCGACGCGACCAATACCTCCCAGCTACCAAGTGCATACACCCCTACGGAGCTCGAGACGAGAGCACGCTGTGCTAACTTGGAGGGAAGCGGCCTCAACGCGCCAGTATTGGTGTGCCTCCAGGCTCGCTGCAATGCCATTTGAGCGGTTGAGAGTTTGGCCCCAACCGTGCGGCCATCTCGGCAGGGGTCCTTGGACGTCGTCGCTGCTTGACACAAGCGCTAGATGAGCAGGCGTCGAGTATACTCTGGTGCGAAATAGCATGTACAATTTGTACATATTAACCGACTACTAGTCGGAACCGGCTAAGGTCGAAAGGCGGTGGACTTGCCGTTGCGCTGTCGGCCTGCGACGGGCCATGGCCATTTGGTCTCCAATCGCTTTTTCCTGAGAACACACTTTCGACTAAACAGGTTGCGACTAAATGGGTTTTTCCCACGTCGGGTCAGCGCAACGATGGTGGCACGCGTGCAGATCGCCAGCACACGAATACTAGGAGGTCGATAGGCCGTGGGAGGTTGCTCTTGGTCGCCAACGTTGGCAAGACGGCGCACAGCAGCGACAGGACGTTCTTGCGACTGAAATCGTTACAGGCGCCGGTTTCAAGTGCGCGCACCTGAGCTTCGACGATATATCGAGCCAGCTGTACCTCGTGTTTTATAAGGAAGACGTCTCGTCTTGTGCGTACCGTGGTCTTTGGAGTCCATTGCAGATCGAGGTACGTTGTCGCACTGTCAGCGCGCAGGAGGCACCAATTGGACACTGCCAGCAAGGACGATGAACTTGAGATTCGGAACCTAGAAAAGTTTCTCCCAAGCCGTTTCATGGGACATTGGGACAAACCTCTTAGTCGAGTGTCGACGGGTTTAGTCGCCGGCTCGCCAGCCAATCAGAATCGTCGCCGCAAGGCATGGCGTGAGTGGAAACCTGTGTCAATCGATAGTCTGTAGCATCCGATACATCTCAAATATCCAATATCAGAGGTTTTCGACCTGCTGGGCAGGACATATCAACTTTGGGAGGCGATAGAAGCCCTTTGAACTTACAGCGCGGACCGGTGGCGACGACAACCGGGACGCGGCCACGGACTCGACGATCGACGGACGACGACAAGATGGAAGGGAAGCAATTGCAGAGCGCAATACTCAAGTACCGCAACCTCAATGACAGGAAGTCGGCGCCGGCAGCCGCGGACGGCGGGCAGGCCGCAGCAGCATCGGGTACGTCGTGGCCGGCGAGGCGAGAGACCGCTCATGGCCGGCCGTAGCGGCCAAGAAGCGCCGACCGTTCACGTACACAGACCACTCGGACACGATTGCGCAGCTGCGTACGACCATCTCTCGTTGCTACCTCGTTTCCCATCGATTGCCTGTACTAGTGTCGGGCAGCACGGCCGCAAGCGCCAGCAACAACAAACTCAACAGCGTGTACCCGACCTCGACGCTCTTGCGGTCGACGGCCGCAGCCGCGAGCTACAACGCGTCCACGATGGCGTCGACCGACGGCTTCCAGTACGAAGAGGCGTTCCAGCGTGGCATGAAGCTCGTCGAGAAGAAGGACTACAAGCGCGCGCTCTCGGAATTTACCGAGGCCATCAACGTCGCGCCGACCAAGCTCAAGGCGTACGTGCAGCGCGCCATGTGCTACATGAAGGCGCAGCGCTACGAACCCGCGATCGACGACTACTCGACGCTCATCGCGCACACGCCGGGCGACAGCGACATGTTCTCGAAGCGCGCGTTTGCATACGAGTGCCACAACAAGCTCCAGGCTGCGATCGACGACTACACCAAGGCCATCGAGATCTCGGGCGTGCCGGCCAAGATCAAGGACGCCAAGCTCGCACGCGGCAAGGCGTATGCAAAGCTCGGGCACCTCACGCACGCGCTCGAGGACTTTGGCGGTGTCATCGAGATGGACCCGCGCAGCGACGACGGGTACCGCCAGCGCGGCCTTGTCTACAGTCGTCTCGGCAAGTTTGACTTGGCCTTGGCCGACTACGACCGCGTCGTTGAGCTCGAGGCGCGCCAGCTCACGCATGTGAAGCTCGAGTCGCTGCTCCAGCGCGCTGAGACGCTCATGCAGCTCGTCGAGAACGAGGAGAATGGCTTTCTTTTGCATCAGATGGAGGACTCGGCGCTCCTCTCGGCCGAGAACGGCCACGACCGCGCTGTGCGCCATACGTCGCGCACGATCAGCCTCGGTATGGACGAAGCCTACTTGACGCCGTGCGAGTCGGACGACGCGCGGGCGTTTGCGCTCAAGGCCATTGACGACTTTACTGCCGCCCTCGACCAAGAGCCCGAGAGCGTGCCTGTGCTCGCTGCGCGCGGCGAGGCCTACATCCGCGCCGGTGCGCTCACAAAAGCGCTTGCCGACTTTGACGCGGCGCTGTTGATCGACGCCAAGGACCATCGGCTGCTGCTCTCCCGCGCCGTCGTGCTGCAGCACCAAGACGACGCGGCCCGACCCGGCCAGATCTCGAAACTCGCGCTCCATCTCTTGGCGCAGGTCATTGCGTCGGCGCCGCCACTGATGGCGGCGCAAGGCCTCTTTCGCCGAGCCCGACTGTACCTCGAGCACGACCAGCCCAAGAAGGCGGCCGACGACCTCGGCAAGATCGTCGAGCTGTTTCCCAAAGTGCTGAATGACGAACGCGACTCGGGCGCCGACTACCTCCCGGACGAGCAAGTCAAGCCGCACTGCTTGGTGGGCGGTGCGGCGACCAAAGATGCCAAGTCGCCCGTGCGCATTGCGCTGCAAGCTCTCTTGAGCCGCGCCCGCGTGCACATGCAGCTCCACATGTATGCGTGCGCCGCCAAGGACTACAAGGCGATCCTCGCTGTCTCGCCGGGTCATCTGGATGCGCAGGTCGAAGAGCAGCAAGCGCGCGACCTGGACGAGAAGCACAAGGTCGAAGAGTCCAACCGCGCGGTCAAGTGGCTCTTGGAGCACGGTGACGCCGCCAGCGAAGTGACCAAGAAGGCTGCGAAGAAGAAGAAGAAGAAGGCAGCCAAAGCCCCGAGTACCGAGTCGCCGAGCAAACCGACCAAGCCGTCGTCGACAACGGTCCGGCCGCCCGCGATCCTTGTCAAGGACGCGGTGACCACGGACGACGACGACGACGAGAGCGGCGACAATGCCCGTCCACCCTCGTCGGACGACGATACCAAGCCCGAGGCGAGTATACCACCGCCGGTGCTGCAAAAGATCTCGCCCACCGGTAGTCTCGGCCATCGAAGTAGCACGCCATCGAGCCGCATGGTCATGTACACGCGCGACGAAGCCTGCGAGAGCCTCTACGAGATGGAGGCGCCGGTGGAGCGCGTTGTGCCACCCCGACCGACCTTTCACTTTTCACTCACGGACGACTTGCCGAAAGATGACGAGACGACGCAAGCCAAGAGCTCGGACGACGAGACGACAACAAGGAGTGCTCCAGCCAAGGACAAGAGCGGCGACAGCACGCCCGCGGCGTCGCCCGTCGTCCTCGTCGACGACAAGTACCTCAAGAAGCGGCGAAAACAGCTCGAGAAGCTCCGCGCCGACCTGCTCGACGTCTGCGAACGAAGAGAGCGCGACTTGATTGTCGATGCGCTGGACCGCGCGACGCGCAAGCAAATGCTCGACCAGCTCCAGGACGAGTGCCAGCGGGCGCGCGACGTCCTCGAAGAGCTTCAGCTCGCAGTCGACGCGACACCCGCGCCGTCGCCGCAGCGCACGACGCCCACCACGTCGTCGGACGCAAGTCCGGTGCGATTACCGTCCTCGAGTCCGCCCCGCGACCGGTCGCCCAGCAAGCCACATGCCAATGGCGTCCCGCCACCGATCAAAACGACCGCGTCACCGCCCCGCCCGATCGCGTCGTCGTCGCCCGCGCGGCCGCCACGGCAAGCCGAGTCGCCGGACGAGATGGCGCGCCTCCGATACCAAATCGACATGCTCCAGCGTGCGCTGAGTGAGAAGCAGCACGAGGTCGACCAGCTCAAGCGGCACACGGCGCTTCTCCCGCCTGTCTCGTCGCCACTGCCACTCTCATCGCTCTCCCCCAAGCTGCATGGCATGGAGCGGTGCATGCGGCCGTTGGCACCCGCCGCATTTGCGTGCCCCGCGATGCGCCAAGCCGACCATATGGTCGAGCTCTTTGGCCCGACCGTCGACTCGGAGCGCGTGCGCACCAAGCTCATGCGTGCGCTCGCAGCTGTCCTCGAGCCCGTGGCGTCTGTCGCCACGTTTTACCCGTCGGGGTCGTACCCGCTCAAGACGTACCTTCCAGACTCGGACATTGACGTGTGTCTCGTGCTAGCGGACGAGGCAGCGAGTATGACGTGGCACGCGGACGTGACGCAAGCGCTTCTGGCGGCCGCCACGTCGGACCAAAAGGTCGAGTGTACTGTCCGCAACGTGACGTTTGTGAACGCTGAAGTCCGCGTCGTCAAGTGCACGATCGACAACGTCTCGATCGATGTGACGGCCAACCGGTTTGGCGCCCTCGGTGCGGTCTCGCTCCTCCACGAGATGGACGTGCGCGTCGGCCAGCATCATCTCTTCAAGCGCAGTCTGATCCTGATCAAGACGTGGTGCATGTACGACAGCTCGCGCTTCATTGCGCTCAGTGCGTCGGCGTCGGGTCGGAGCAACATCCTCGGCGCGGTCGCCGGCGCGCTCTCGACGTTTGCGCTCAACACGATGGTGCTCTGCCTCTTCAACCTCTTTGGGAAGCGCATCTGCCACCCGCTGCAAGCGCTCATTGAGTTTTTTCATTTTTACGCTGACTTTGACTGGACGTACCATGCCGTGAGCATGCTCGGGCCCGTCCCGATCGCGTCGCTCAACGCCGGGTGGCGCCCGAGCGTCCGGTCGTCCGACGTGGTCATGGACGAGGTTGCTGTCGACGCGTTCAAGGCCAGCATCGAGACGGTCCATGGCGGCGTCCGGCCGTCGCTGCCATTCCAAGTGCGCGCGTGCAACGTGGTCGACCCGCTCAACGAGTGCAACAACGTGGCGCGGAGTGTGACTGCCGACAAGCTCGCAGAGATGAAGCACGCGCTGCAGCACGGCCGGCAGACGCTCGTGCAAATCTTTTACGATGCATGGCACTTGGCGTCGAGCGCCAAGAAGGACGAGGTGCACGCCGAAGACATCATTGCGGCGCTCGACCCGCGCTCGCTCGACAGCTTCTTTCTCAACGGGTGGCAGACGTACGGCAGCGGGTACCGCCCGGATCTGCTCGTGCACCCGCGCCAAGTGTGGCACCCGCCAGCGATGAGCCCGTTTGGCGACGGCAACGTCGCCATCGATGTGCTTGCGTCGCAAGTGGCTAATTTGCGTCAGTTAGCATAACATTATAAGACACGGGACTCTCGTGTTTCGTGCATTCCTGTGCATGCACAGTCGGCGAGGATCGCCTTGCTGGGGGCATTCTTCTAGACATACTAGAACGGGCATTTGCGAAGCTGAGACTTGGTCATTTTGTGATTTTGAGAGTTTGTGATTTTGAGAGTTTGTGATTTTGTGATTTTGAGATTTTGAGAGTTTGAGAGTTTGAGAGTTTGAGATTGCCGTTTCAAGTCGCCTTTCAACATCCTTTATTGCTTAATACCGAGCGAGATTTAGGGAAATTTAATGCCTAATGTGGTAGAGGGCTGGGGGTAGGGCGACGACGGGACTCGAACTGGTGGTCCGTCGCGTGGCAGTTGCTACAACCCGCCGACACCCTCGGCCGATCTTTGCATTTCAAACCGGTCCTCGAAGTTCGAAGCTGGTCGTAGCCAATCGCAAGCGTCCCCGCGTAGAGTGCAAAAGGTCAGTTGATGGCCGGATCGGCTTCAACGCTTTGGCAGCAGCGTGCGGTCACTGGTGTCCTAGGTCGTAGAGGCTGTCGCAAGGTGGTGCACGAGTGTACGGTACGAGGTGCTTCTTTCGCAGCTGCCAAGTCGCGCGTTCGTTGCAGTGACGCTGCATGTGGTGGTGGTGGCTTCTTCTCGCAGGGCGAAACCAAAGCCTGCAATGTGTAGCCGCGGGCAGCCTCTTCACGGTACTCGTAGCAAGGCGATTGCACGGCCTTGAGAGAGCGAGCAAGCGGCTGTTCGCGACGGCGCCGTCGTCGCAGCAACTACTAAATTACATGTTTGCCTGATGTCGCACTGACGGTGCAGGCGTGCTGCGACCGTCGCTCCACTGAGCCTCATGCAGCGGAATGCACATGCTGGAAAGCGCTCAATGAGGTCGCAACAGTGTCTTGTAAGGACGAGAAGAGTGTGGTTGGATTGTCGGCGATTTCCGGCCATTATCTGACCCGTTATCGGTGCATCAAGAGTCCATTTCCCAGTGCAAAGTCGACCGACCGACCGACCGAGCATGGGCCGCGCGTGCTCGCTGACCGAGTGGGCCCACTTTGTCAAGACGAGCCACAAGGCCAACCTCTCGTACTGGTGGGTTTACTGCCGCCACTGCGTCATCGCGGCCATTACGTCGTCGTCGCCGCCGGGCAGAAACATTGCCAGCATCAACACGCCCGACGCGCTGCAGGCGTTCATTGGCACGCTGCCGCCGCCGACCGCAGCATCGACGACCGAGCCGCGCCCGCTCGTCGGCCGGCGCTCGGTCATGAAGGCCCACCTCGCGCAATGCCTTCATGCGTCGGCGATCCCGCCCAACCCGATCATCAAGCGGCGCGCCGGCAAGCGCGGTGTGCACTGCGCGATCGCCGAGTGGGCCCACTTTGATCGGCTCGAGCAAGACGGGTGCGATCTCGTTGTGTGAAGTATACAAGTTGTCTGATAGTGTGGCGACTAGGTACATTGGCAACAGCAACTACTTTCCAGTGCGCTGCAAGCACTGCGTGGCAGCGCATGGCAGCGGTCGCCGGCCGACGCCGCCCGAGGTATTCGCAGGCCGCAAAGAGAGCATGCGCAGCCACTTGGCGCGTTGCTCCTTCTTCACGGGCAAGCTCCCGGCCAAGCGCACAAAGGACGCATCCAAGCTCGCGCTCAACGAGTGGCAGTTCTTCATCCAGCTCGAGCGCCAGCCCAACACGTACTACCACTACGCCAAGTGCAAGTTTTGCACCGACGCGTACGAGGCTGCGCGCGCCAACGGGCGCGAGATGCTGCCGCCCAAGGTCATTCTCGGGCGCAAGCACAACATGCAGACGCACCTCGCCAACTGCGAACACATTCTCAACCACGAGGCGGTGTTGGATGATATTGTCATGTCGAGCGACGACAATAATGACAACGACGACGACGACGACAGCATCGACCGCCCGATGCCGTTTCCCAGCGCCGAGACGCCGCGGTTGCAGGCGCTCGCGACGTCGGCGACCGCATCGCCGCTCGCGCGCCTCTTGCATCTGCCGGTCGACAAGCCGTCGCCGCTCACATCCAACGCGAGTCTCTCCCGAGTGAGCTCGATCGAGAGCAACGGCGGTCGGCCCGGCGCAAGCAGTGAGCTGGACACGGTCGACGCCGTCGTGGCGTTCACGCTTGAACACAATCTACCGTTCACGTGGGTCGAGTCCCAAGCGATGCAAGTGCTTTGCCCGCACCTCCCGACGACGGCCGAGCTCGCGGGCCCGATCCTCCGGCGGCTGCTGCAGTCGTGCGAGGCAACGCTTCTCACGCGTTGGCGTGAGATGCACCAAGGCGGCGGCTGGACGCTCGTCGTACACTTGCTCGACGAAAGCGAGTCGACGGCGACATTGGTCGCGTGGGTCGTGCACCCCAACGGCCTCGTCCTTCCGTCCATGTTGGATGCGTCGTTGACGTTGACGTGTCCGCTGCCATTGCTGCCGCAAACCCTCCAGCGGCATCTCGCGCAGTGCGAGCGGCAGCAGCTCCACGTCGTCGCGGTCGCGCTCCCGCCGTCCGCTGCCTGCTTTGGCCACCTGCCCGCGCAGTTGCCGCATGTCTTGTTTGTGACGTCGCCACGAAGCGTGGTGCGCCGCCTGCTGCATGGCGTGCTCGCGGACGAGGCCGTCTTCTTTGCGCTCAAGCGGCTCTGCCTCTTGCGATCGCTGCCCGCCCACCTCTCGGAAGTCTCGTCCTGGCTGCACCAGACGCTCCAGAGCCACTTTGTCGATATGGACACCCGCATCGTGCTTGAAGCCACCGCGCCGCTCTTCTTGCATCTGAGCCGTCTTCCGCGCGCGCTCTCGCTGGCAGCCACGCTGCATTTGTTTGGCCAGCTCTACAGCGCGGTGCGGCGACTGCCGTTAGCGCTCGATCGGCTACAACAAGCGCTGCTCGAACACCTCGAGCTCAGCTGGAGTGCGGTCGAGCAGCCGGTGTACGTTCTTGCGTACGCACTGCACCCGCACTACCGCGACAGCGCGCTACGGAAGACGCGAAGTGTGTTCAAGTGGAGTGCGCTCTGTGACGTGGCGTGCTACTACTATGAGCGCTGGTTCCGGACAAGACCGACGACGCTTCGCGGCGACGTCATGGCGTTTGCCCATGTAACGCAGCAGATTTACGCACCGAGCGTCCTCGCTGAGTTTCCGAGCGCGAGCGACTATGTACTGTACCTGATGGATCACGCGCCCGAGCTGGCAGCGCTCATGGATCGGCTGCACGCGACAACGACAAGCTTCGAGTTTGACCCGATTGAGCGACGTGATGACAGCGCAGACGTGCTCCAAAGCGTCCAGTACATTGCCTACTGCCAGTCGCGCCCAGCAAGACCGACAGAGTCGGACCTCATGCCGGACGCACGGCTCGTGCAGTGGCGATCGCGTGTGGCAGCGAACGCTGCGCAGTGCGGTACGTACTCGACCGAGGACGCGCAGCGCACAACCAAGATATCACTCCACGAGCTCTTTGAGAGCTAGCGCTTGTAGCTAGTCGACGACCACGATCGCAGTGGTCGTTGTTACTTGTACTTGTAATAACATATTGTCGGCCGCGTGCAGCTGCCGTTCGACCGTTGTCGATCGTTTGGGCTAGGGTCCATCGCTTGGATTAGCCAACGAGAACGGTGTATAAACACGAAATAGACTGTTGCTAATATATACAGGTATCGACTTCTAGTCTTTTATAGTACAATATTGTCTGTAGCTGGAGACGCAATGAGACTGGTCGAGCGCGGCAACGGCAAAAGCCGACAGCTCGTCCTCGCCAGCTGCGACATGCCGCCGTTATCCGGATGATTGGCGCATTCCTCGACTTGCACGAACCAATGAACCGATCCGCCGAGGTCGCGGCCTTCCAGAAGCTCGTTCCTGCCGCCGACATTGAGACGTGCACGCACGAGCAGCTCCAGGCGTCGCTGCAGTACACGCGCCAGCGCAAGCTGCGATTGCGCCTGCGCTTCCCGGCCGAGTACCCCCGTAGTGAGCTTTTGATTGAGATTCTGAGCACGTCGCTGCCCGACGTCGCACTGCGCCGCCTCACCAAGTTTGCCGACGCCAAAGCCAAAGAGCTCAGCAAAGACGGCTTGCCGCAGGTGCAGGCCATTGTCGAGTTCGTCCAGTCGTCGCTCAGCGAGAACAAGCTCCTTTATGCGTTCGACGAGGTGCGCCAGCTCCGCCTCCTCGCCGACGCCAACGTAAGGCCATCGAGAACGTGGTCCAGTCGCCAAGCAGGTGGTCTAGGGCGGCGAAGTGAAACTCGTCAACGAGCGGGCGGGGCGCATCAAGGTGCTACTGCGTCAAGGCCCGTATTTTTTCCAGGTGCGCAAGAGCCTCCCACGGGCTGCGTCACAACGACGGTTAGGTCAACGTCAAGATCGACGACCACTACCCCGACTCGACGATTCGCGTGGCGTGCGACGAGTCCAACTTGCCGCCCAATGTCGTGGACATTATTGTCAAGCGAGCCAACGAAATGGCCCGGCGCATTACCCTCGTGCGCAAGTCGGTGTCTCGTTGTTTCTTGCATACCTTTTTCTAGGGCTACACGGCCGACCAGGCGCTATATGCCTCCAACCCGCTCAAGAAGCCACTGAGCCTCCTCGCGCCGCCCGAGCCCGTACAGCGTCGACCGCATCGCGCGCCAAGGATTTATATAGTGCATCATATAGACAAAGAAGGCAGCGCCAGGGTTGAAAAAGTTTGGCAAGGCCGCCAAAGCTGCTCCGGTGCCCATCGTCATCAAGGTCGCCTTCTATTATCAAGTTGATAGAACCGGTGCCATGTTCTCGGTACTGTAGGAAGCGCACAAGGACAAGATTGCACCGCTGTATTACGCTGCCGACGGCGGCCTCTTGCATCAGTCGCCGCTCGATGAAGCCGTCAAGAGCATTCTACCCGTGGTACGTCCCTGCACGGCGAACACGATATCCTGTTGAACGCGGCGGGTCAGGTCAAGACCTATCTCTACGAGACCATGCTCAAGTCCCTCCCGTCCACGACGTGTCCGGTGCGCGCTTTTCTGTCTGCGTAGACGGTGCATTTCTTACAAATGGGCGTGTAGGAGTGCGCGCAGTTGGTACTGCCGACCAATCCGACGACAGCACTCGACGCCAACGCCGTGCCGCTGCAGGCGTACTGCGGCCACTGGTTCCACACCGAGTGCCTCGGCAAGAAGCTCCAGTCGCCGCCGTTCGCGCACCCGTGTGTGGTATTGCGCATCGTGCAAAAACGCGTTCTCATTCTCGTGCTGGTCGCTAGGCGTGCCACGTCATCTTGCACCACCCCCGGTGGCCGTCGGACCTCGCCGAGCTCTCGACACGCTACGAGCGAGAGCAGCGCCTCGCGCGCGAAATCGCCGAGATCGCCGACATGTTTTAAGCGCTTCGAAAGTCCTACGCGCTTCCTTTTCTCGCATGAACGTACGCTTGCTGGACCACATAGCCGCGTTGATGGCCCCGACGTACGTCGCTGTTGTACTCTTCTCCCTGTTGAGTTGTCAAACGACTGAGTTACGGACGAGCAACGAAACATATGGCCTCCGTTCTTGGATCCCATTTCGAAACTGCATCTTTCGTGGGTGGGTGTATTGGACGGTGCTGCGATTCACTCCTAGAGTCGACTTCTTTACTACGCCTCTCGTCGATCGGGTCGACGTCGAGGACAGTATGTACTTACTGGAACGAGACCCCGTGGGCGTAAACCCCGACTTCACTTCTCAGCTCCACCAAGGCGGAAGGATACGAATACAGCAACAAATGGCTCGGGTTGTTAATTAACTGTGCTATGTAACAGCTAGCGTAGCTAGAGTCTGGGACGCACGTGTGGAGTGCATCGCGAGGGCCGTTGCCAGCGTCGCGTCAACAGCGTCCAAACCAATTGCAGCGTGCAGCATCGCGACAATCGCGGCCTTGTCCGACGCCACCGACGCTGTGCTGCGCCTCATCGAGATGGTTCGAGCGTACGTTGCAAAAGCATCCGGGTGGGCGCGCACCGCGGCGACTTGGTGCGACGGCAGCGCGACATGGATGCTGGCATGTGTCGACACGGCCGTGTAGAGCTCTAAAAGGCACCACGCCCGCTTCAAGATAACGGGGCGGCGCCACTCGGTCACCACGAGCACGAGATGCCCGATCGCCGGCATCGAGCGCTGAAACCGGGTGGCCCAAAACGCAAATGGTGCAGCTTGCGCGTGTTGGTTATTGACAAAGAGGCAAAACCAAAAGGACGCGGGTGACGACAGACTCGCTTGGAAGACGGAGAGCGCGTCGACGACTTCGAGGAAGAGGTAGTGCCACGTGTGGCTCACATACCAATTCGCGGGCTGCACGAACGGCGTGTGCGACAGAAGCTCGGCGTACGAGACGTGCGTGGATGACGTGGCCGGTCGGATGAAGCGATTGCAGACGTCCTGGGTCGTGAGGCCGTGAATGCATCGCGGCCGCCATGAGCTGTGATAAAGTCGACAAAGAAGACCAGCGTGACGCCGTGGGGAGGGTTCGACATGCGAATTTTGAAATAAAAATATTGGTCGACGACGCAGCATCGGTACTTGCTCTCAGATGCGACGATGAGTTGTCGTTGGCAGTGTCGTGTGCTTACTTGCAGTACAGCATACTTTGTTCTACGTCCTGGTGGGAGGTTGCATTCCAGGGGGGGGCACCACGACCAAGAAGAGAAGCGATGAACCGCATTGATGACTTGTCGCTTCACCAACGCTTTCCGTGGGTGCTCGCGCATTCGTTGAATAGAATCGGAGCGTATCGACCATCCAAAAGTGATAGATGGAAACATCTGACTTAAAGTCCTTTTTTGAACGTAAAATGTCCTAATTCAAGCACTGGAACAATCAAAACAGGACATTTCTGGCCACTTCCAGCCGCTCGTTCTCGACGGCCATTTGCAATTTTCCATGAACGAGCTCGAAAGGTGTACATAATACCGGTACCGCTCGAGATGACTCGACAATGTCGTACAATGCTTCACCGAAAAATATATACTAGTACTAACATTAGATAAATGTGCACAAAAAACAAACCGATTGCCATCTGACATCGCCCAGAGCAAGCGTTGCCTTTCTCATAAAGTCGAGTCCAATAGATTGACAAGTCGTCGCGTATATAGCAATCGCTTCAGCCCCTCGAGCATAGCTTGGTACTACAATGAGCGATTGGTGCATGACATTTCTACTGGTCGCGAGATCGTGGCGAGGGTCCTTCCAGGTCATGATTGGGGCCGCGATGCCATTTCATCGGGCGAATATAACGCTCAGATATAATTCTTTTCAGCAAAGAAGGTTAGTCATGCCTCCAAGTGTCGTACTAACGTTAATACGATCCTGTAGAGTCCGTTGGGTCGTGGCCGTCTCTGTCATGGTTCTCGAGCGGATCCAAAAGAAGCTTGACAAGCTGATTGGCGCGCACGAGAGCGGCTCCCGCCCTGGACCAAGCACGTCGTATGTCGTATGGTCGCACAAGGGGCGCCCAGATCCGCCAGTATGAAGAGCAGTTCACGATGCTGGGAATCGACTTCTCCCGCGCGTTCGACACGATCGACCGCGGTATCCTCGACGATGAAGAAGTGCGCCCGCTACTTGGGACCACGACGCTCCAGTTGCGGATATACGACAAGTCGCACAGCCCTTTTGAGACCAACATAGGCATGCCACAAGGCGACTCGTTGTCGCCGGTGCAGTTTATTGTATGCATCGACGCCACACTCAAGAATTTCGGGCAGACGCTCAGCGAGG